ATAAGGAAAACTGTTTTAATGTTTTGGGCTTTCTGTCAAACTGTACTTTTCATCAGTTATCTCATGAGTTCCATGTAGGTGGTGAGTAGGCAATGCAAAAAACTAATTTCGCAATTAATCGTAATATTAGAATAAAATAGTCAGTGCTGTTATCGAAAAAAAATAACAGAAAATACACGCATGTTTGGTACTTTGCCAGACCCGGGAACTGAGACCAAATTGGGCACTTTCCTTAATCAAAAATAAATTATTTCGACTTTTCAATACAATAAAATATTAAAAAATAATCACACTTTCATTAATTGATTTTATGATGAGTATTTTTCTAGCAAATTTTTAAGAAATAAGTATGTTGTCTGACGCTAAAAAACGTGACGTCACAATACACAATCTCGTACAAAATTCATATAAAACCGTCGTTTTTGACAGTTCGAAAAAAGTATTGAATTTGACTAATCGGCAAGTACCCAATAGCTCGGCAGGCGCACCTACAAGATACATCAGTCGTAAACAATACTTCAACTTACCACTCGTGCTTATCCCGTCCCGTCCTGGCGAACAGGTACAGGTGTGAGTGCTTGTCCGTAGATGATTTAACGTGCACGCTCCACTCTCCTTCACTCGTACCGTCCGCTCCTCCGTCCAGTTCCTGAAGAACAAGAGTTTAACTATGAATACTACTAATATTTCGAATACTTCATTGACAACGGATGACAGAAATCGGTTGCTAAGTCAGAAATTCCATTTATGGATTTTCAACCTTATTGCTAATATACAACATGTAACGTAATTAACATGTTGTATAAAGATGAAAGTTTTAAGAAATAGAATTTAGCACAGAATTTTGTTGTTATCACTACAAAAGTTCCATTTCCTCTTATTTGTATTAAACTGTCAAACACCAAGCGGTCACCGGTGACCGCAACCTAAGATTTGTTTTATTTTTTTCTCAAATTAATGTTGAAAATTCAATTAAACCTACATTTGATTCATTAATTATAGTCCGATCATATAAGTTATAATTGAAAACATTTATATTTGTTTTAAATATAATTCATAGATGCATTTGCATTTCAATTACCTATCAAATAGGTAAACAATATGCATTGATGACGTAATTATTCTATTTTATACGTTGTTAAGTACCTATTACAATTGTGATAGAAGTTCAAGGTTAAATTAAAACTACTTAAAGGAAAATAGTATATATGCTAGAAGGAAGTTCGGATAAAAGAATCAAGTTACAACGAGTAATATTTTTTGTAGCAAATTGTAAAAAACAGAAGCACAATAGCAAGTTTTTACTGACGGCAATGCTAATGAAATCATTATAAACTTTACTTTTAATGTACTTCAAATCCACTTGAACATTTTAGCTACGTACTTATTAGATATTATTTAAATCTTAAATATATTATCTAAAAATATTTTGGTTCAATAAATATTTAGCTGTTATGTCTGTTATTTTAATATGTACGAAATGAAAACTTGACTCTGCAGGATTAACAATAATAAGCTCTAAATAAATATAAATTAAAACTGAAACTCGTTTATCACATACTAGCACTTAAGATAAGGGTCTTAGAATCACTTAAACATCGAAGTGCACCTAACTTTCTATAAATATTACATTTAAAAACTACAACCTTTTCGTACTAAAATTATAAATGCAAATGTTTTTTTATGTTTGTTTGTCATTCATTCACGTCAAAACTGCTGAAGCTGAAATCGAACCAACAAAACTATGTAACTAGATAATTGTATTGTAAACCCGATTGAAAAAGAGTAACCTATGGAGTTTCTTGCTCGTTCTTCTCCATAGGAATCTACACCTTGGTATGAGCAAATAGCTTCACTTCTAAATTTTTTTGTTGTTGACGTTCAAAAGTGCATTCCTGGTCTAATTGAAATAAATGATTTTGACTTTGACTTTGAAGGGATGGGGATGAAATATATTGAAACATGGGTAGATTATGGTGTGGAATAACACATATCATATATGCTACTTTTTATTCCACAGGTACGCGGACGACAGACAGAAGATAGTCGACAACAAAAGAACTAAAGTCAACGAAAAAAAATAACTTACAGTCTCCTCCAAGAACTCCTTGATCTTGGACAGCTCAGTTTCATCAATATCCTCATCGTTATCGTCCTTAGTGCTGGTGACGGAGTGCGACGTGAGTTCCACCTCTTGATCATGGAAGGAGTCATCGACGTACAGCGCCTTCTCTGTTTTGACTTGACTCTGGCTTTGCGTCTCCACTGGTTCCGTTGCTGTTGAGACGGTGTCTGTCTTCTTGTCTGAAGGAGCAATATTGTAGGACAATTTATTTCTATTTTTTAGACGTGTATTGTTCTTCTTTGTTTTAATGTAATGACCAAATTAGATACGGCCTTGTAACAATGATAAAAGTGACCTATGGTTCCTTCACCCACATAAAATCTTAGTGATATAACTTATTGAAAAATTTAGTGTGAAATTTATTATTTCATTATTAATAAAGTATATAACAACATGGATAAGTAAAATGTTACTATATTATTATGATCTTGTCTAAAACATCACATATCTGAGCAGTTAAAAAAATAAAGACAATCTATAGATACCTTAATAAAATTGGAGTGTCTCGATTGTAATATTAAAATATACATACGATACACATACTAAAATAACATTTTTTTACAATTGTATGTCTGTCTGTTTATTTGTACTGACTAATCTCTGGAATGGCTGGACCGATTTTGCAACACTTTTATTTGCAGGTAGCTGATGTACTAAAGAGTAACATAGGTTACTTTTATTTTAGAAAGAAACAAAAAAATATATATTTTCATATTCTATGCGGTCGTAGTCGCGGGCAACAGCTAGTAGTATATACAAATACACAATAGAAGAGAAACACCACAGACTATTTACTTTAATATTGACATTAACAACCTGTACAGTGGGCAGCAGCTGAACCTACTCTTATCAGTCAAATTTCTTTATTCGATTTTCAACTGTATAGTTTAGATATAAAGTCGAAAATTCAATAATAAACATTGACACATTTGAGTACATTGATGTGATGTGCATTGAGTACAATACCTATAGATACGCATGTTTGCCTACCAGTTCATGACTCACAGATATTGCGTCTGGATTGCACAAGACGTACTAATTGTACAATGCTAATTCAACTATTATAAATGCGAACTTTTATATGTTCGTTTGACACTCCTTAACGTCAAAACGGCTGAACAAATCGGGATTAAATTTGGAACAAAGGTAGATTATGTTTAATTTTAAGGGGGGGAAAATCGTCGAATGTTTTCTTCCGCCTGGGTGAGGCGGGAGGGAGTGTCACTCTTACTGACTAAAAAACACCCCGTTCCTATTCCTGCACTTTGAGCCGGAGCCCCGGTAACCCGCTAGGTTCTTCGCGGTCCCGAATCGGCATCAGCCCTATTGGGCCCCATCCGTGGTGGTCTGATAGCTCTTTGAGGCACGCGCAGACCGCGACGCGCCGTACACTCGGGTAGATTATGATTTGGAATAATACATAGGCTTCTTTTTATTCCACTGGAAGGCGGGTAAAGCGGCTAGCAGAAGATAATGTGAAAATAACTTAATGGATTACCTCTATGCATCTTTCTAACGAGCCTATGTCTGAGCCCCTCTTTGCCTGTCTCGCCGTCGGTATGTGAAATACTGAAACAAAAAGACATTGTACTAGTTAAATGCTTCATAGGTATCTGCGACAATAGATACCACTTACAATCCTCGGTGGAATGGAATGTAAAGCATTCTTGTGTATCTTTTTAAAATTTTGTTCTAGTTATGAAAATAAGGAGTTTCTTTTATATTAAGTATCAGCTAGGTATTCATTTATGATCATAATTATTTACAGCAACTGTACTCAAATCGAGACCGAGACCGTGTTCGAAGTTCTGATTGGTTGGTTCATTGGAGTCGGCCAATCAGAGCATTGAACGCGGTCTCGTTTCGATCTCGTCAAACTATTAACAAACTCGTATATTCCGTCAGAACATATTCAAATTAAAACAGCTTTTGAACTTTTCATTAAAGATGTGTCTATAATATGAAACAAATATAGTACGGACCTCTTTTCTCGTTTCCTCCATACAAATTTGCGTTTCTTCTCAGGGCTGGTACTAGTCTCTGTCTCCATCTCATGTTGCGGCTGTTGTGGTTCCTTCTTCTTTTCAGAAGAACTGGCTTCCGTTGCTTTCTTATCCGCCGTCGAACTTTCTTTTTCTAATACTTGAATCTTTTCCTTGTCGCTTAGTATTACACATATTGGGTATTTCTTGCTCCATTGTCTAAAAATTAAGAATAGCTAAAATTAGACTAAGAATCGCATAGATTTGTAATCATCATCATCATAACATCACGCCTTTTATCCCCGAAGGGTAGACAGAGGTGTACATTACGGCACTTAATGCCACTTTACGATGTAACATCCACTTTTCACTATTTTTGTTGAGTCCCATGTAATAGGGGATGAGCCTATTGCCATATACCGGGCACAATACCAGACTCCGTGCTATTAATGAGAATTTTTGAAAAGCCCAGTAATACTTTGCCCGACCCGGGAATCGAACCCGAGACCCCTTGCCCGGCAGTCGCAATTGCGACCACTCGGCCAACGAGGCAGTCAGCATAGATTTGTAGTAATTAATTAATAGCAATTATTTTGGTTTTTCTTCGAAGAGATAGGTTTATTACCACACATTCTTGTACCCTATAAACCAAAGTGAGTACCCGCCGCGTCTAATATAATAATAAAATACGAAAAAAATGAGAAACTACTTTTTTGAAGTCGGTTAAACAGTGCCATTTCATGCAGTTTCTAAGAAAAGCTACTAAGTTAAACTACGACCTAAATAAAAAGTGGTGTACTTAGTACTATTTTTTTAACAGTTGCAGAACTGTATTTTTTTGGCCGACGATGGAGCACGCCTATCTATGAGCAACCTGTTCACTCGAGACTTATTATCCTTACTAATATCATAAATCGGAAAGTGAGTTTGTTCCGCTTTCACGCCGTAACTACTAAACCGATTGCTTTGAATTTTTACAGACGTAAAATTGGAAGTCCGGATTAAATAATAGGGTACTTTTTATCCCGGAAAAATGTAAGCTTTTGTATTTCTGAGGGAAAACAAAAGTATTGGTATAGATGGCGCTGTGTGTATTGGTATATGTCACATAGGTTACTCTTTATCCTTTTGTGATGCGAGCGAAGCCGCGGGTAAAAGCTAGTATACGTTATATTTATCTGTATTAGTACAATTAAACAAATCTCAAACTTTAATAAGTGTACACAATCCCAATTTGGAACATAAAGACAATGTATTATACAATAATTCAACACGTGGAATGTATAACAAATGCAATCTAGGCTAACACTGAATGCACTGCATTGTCAATTGCTTACAACCTTGGTCGCTCAAGGCAATACATTCGAAGAAGTAATATAATATTTTAAGGTACTAGTATAGATTTAATAGCGATATGAAATCCATGCGAATGCTATTACATTTCTCATGGGTGCCAACTCACTATTTTGATAAGCAATCACGTTTGAGTCATTATTTTACGTGAGATCATTGGCCATCTGTCATTCACGAGCGTTGATTTTATAAATTTATTCGTATTGTCCATGTCTCTACCAATTATGGTACGCTTGTTTTTTTTTGTAACCCAGGAGCAATTTGTCCATGCACTGTCTATTTTCTGTTCCATTTTTAAACACATTTTTCTTCGAAATATTTTAGCTCTTTGTTTGATGACTATTGATGAAGCGAAAGAGGTATGTAGTAATCGTAGTAATTGGCGTTCCATAGTCTCTGCCTTCCCCCATGGGAGACAGGCGTGAAGTTATGTGTGTATATATATGTTGCTCAACGGAGATGTAAGCACAGACCTCCTGTTTGGTAGTCACTTTTGTGGTAACTTGGTTCTAAAGGTTATCAGTGGGTTTTTTACATTTTAAAATTAATTATTAAACTGTTATGTTAATAGGTTAACACTTCATTATTAACTACCCCAGTATCTTAGTCACTCATATCGAGAAAATATAATTGGATATTTCTATTATTCGATTTCAAAACGTGGTCATCAGCTATGGTAATAAAATCAATCAGATAAGGTGTTCGCTAATCAGATCGTAAACTATGTATCAGGTTTAGATTAGAATCACATCATATTATATATATAAAAACATAACGAATTTTCTTTTCCGCGTAAGGAGACTAAGGCCTCTTAAGGTTTTGGTATAAAATCTTATCGTTAAGATGCGATAATGTATGCGCTTCGCAGGAGGTTTGGAGATCATACTTAAAAAGATCCAGTGCCTTTAGCCAATCGCCACTTTAGCCCTTGTCTACCGAGAGAGTAGAAAACTAAATGTATGGGGATGACACTGACAAGTGTCAAAATCTACGACAATCCCATATAATTTAGTTTTTAACTCTACAAGTAGACAAGCGCTAAATGGCATTTGGCTACAGCTGCAGGCTTGTCAGAAACAGTTCTGTATTTGTAGTCCAATGATGACTTAAAACACCCCCAGAAAGATAGAAGATATGGTGACAAATGCATTCTATTTTAGACCCCTACCATTATCACAAGGCTAAAATTATACCATGTGATCAGTATCTTAATATTCCTACACTTCTAATTTTGTTCAAAATTCTTGGAAAACTGTATATAGCAGTATAAATAATTCATTTAAATGTCAGCTAGGCCTCATTGTTGTGAGATAATTAACATGACGAGTGCTATTACAGCTCGGGCCGGGGACTTTTTGTATGACTACATACTTTAACTGTACACCGCATGGCAAATATTTAAATTGGCGGATAAAAATATGAGATAATATTTTTTTATATTGCTTCGGGACCATGTATAATATGCAAAAGGTATGATTAAAATATATCTCTAATGAAACAATAATCTGACGTCAACTAGTAATGAAACATAACCTAATAAATAATCTATACTAATATTATAAAGTTGAAGAGTTTGTTTTGTTGTTTGTTTGTTTGAACGCGCTAATCTCGGAAACTCCACAGTCCGATTTCGATAATTACTTTTGAGTTAGATAGTAAATTTATCGAGGAAGGTTATACGCTACAAAACATCACGCAACGATCATTAGGAGCCGAGCTGAGCGGGTGCAACCGCGCGGAAGTAGCTAGTATTACATAATACGACAAAATAGGAGGGAATTCGCGATAAATATTTGTATTAATTTTCTTTATCAGACGAAGAGGAAATCCGTGTGTACTGAACTGTAACATTTTACTCAGTTAGATAATATTTTTGTTCCAAAACTTTGTTACGAAACGAAACAATAGTGGATTCAGGTCGCTGTTGTAATTACACGGATGGCTTAATTACGCCAATTGTGATATTGTTTAGTCTAAACAGTTGAGTATTTAGTCTGCAGTTATTTTTAAGCTACACATGTATTATACATGGGTTAGAGTACGCCATAAATGTGCGACCAAGATACGCCGAAGAGAACCTAACGGGTTACCAGGGTCTCGGCTAGAAGTGCATGAGTAGGAACGGGGTGGTTTTTAGTCAGTAAGAGTCTGACACTCCCTCCCGCCTCTCCCAGGCGGGAGAAGTAATTCGATGATTATCCCCGCTTAAAAAAAAAGACACCAATATACAGATAGCATCATATTCTAAACCTTCAGTTACTTTTGCGATGCTTTAAGCATTGGAATTACGTCTTTTTTATTGAGATTTTATCATCTTAAATAGAAGGCATTTGTTCAGCAGTGAATATGCGACTGTCATGCTAGATAGCTAGCTTACACGATTTCGGTTGAGCAAAGTAGCCAAGCAAGTACTATCAGGGTTCTCGATATGCTCTAATCAATGAGGCTAAAATTATGCCAATTGGGATGATGACAGGGTATGGAAATTAAAAATAAAAATAGAATTAGTCCGTAAGTTAGGTAATGGAAAAATATTAGACACGTATTTTTTTATTTTGTCGTATAATAAAACAATACTTAAATAAAAAACATCAAAGTTTAGGAGTGGGGGCTAAAACGTCATTTCTACGAATAAAATGTGCATAGAAGTGACGTCACGCGACATTTCAAATCAATATATCGTCGAAAGTATTCGTTTCTGTAAGAAAATAAAAAATACGTGTCTAATGATTTAAAATAAAATAATCTACCAGACGGACATTTAAATAAAAATTAGGCATCTACCCTATTATAGGAAAAAGGCGTGAAGATATGTATGTCGTTGCCAATTGATTCGTTCTCCTTTAACAATGGCCTTAAAGGAGTGGTCTTTTACTAGTAGCATCGCCATAACCAAATGCATATAATTAGAATCCATAAAATATGCAATAATAGTAATGAAATGGACTTAAGTAACGCTCAAGGATGCTTTCTAGCTACTAATAATAACTTCGGAGAGGTGCATATGCATATTATATTATAATTTCATGGTAATAAGATTAAAAATCGACTAATGAAACCTGTTTCCATTTTTCTTTAGGTAACTAACAACAACGTGATAAAATATTTTTAGTATCATTCAATGTCCTTGACTTTGGCTGTATACGTTGCGTCTTTTATTTTCGCAAAAACTAGACAAAGATATCGGTTAGCAGTTTTTAAAGTTCCGAGCACACACACAGGCTTGTGTTAGTGGTTACGCGTATTGACATAAAGGATACATAGGTATAATGATTAACAAAAAATAATATACTTTTTTGTGTATGTAAAACACTCGTAATGCCCCGTGGTGGTGTTGCAAATCTTATTTTATCTTATACTATATTCTATTATATAAAGCGGAAGAGTTTGTTTTTATTTGTTTGTTTGTTTGAACGCGCTAATCTCCGTAACTACAAAGACCTGTATAACAGACGGTTTGAAAAAATAAGTATTCAAACCGTCTGGTTTGAATACTTATTTTTGTGTTGTATAGCGCATTTATCGAGGAGGGCTACAGGCTATAAAACATCACGCTACGACCAATAGGAGCTGAGCAGAGCGTGTGAAACCGCGCGGAAGTAGCTAGTATTATTATATTTAGGCTACAATGACCTTTTATCATCCGGTGGCCCATAAGCTTTTGTTCTTACGAATAGTATTAAACACTCTAGGGCACCTTAAAAAGAACAACATCAAATAATGGTCCACGAATAGTATTTTAAGATTTAATAAAACTTGTTGCAAACGCAAAGCGCGGCGCCAGAGTGATTAAAGTAAAATGAATTAGAAACAATTGAATAGGTACATTTGGAGTGACGCTGCACCCAGTTAGTTCATTAACCTAATTATTCGTGAGTTGCACTTAATGCACTCACGCGCTCAACAGACCTTACAGACTACACAAGGAACACCGCACATCAACCTATACTAATCGCTCAATTCATTCTTAACCTTATCACGAAATCATTAAGGTTGAAATTCCAATAAATATAATTTAGTTCCTAACTACTTATCAGCGCTTTGTTCGTGACCTTTAAAGACGTAAAATATAGTGTAGACGTCAGTTTATCGTATGCAAACATTGAGAACAAAATATATACAACACGTTTTTCTAATAGGGTCTTTAATACACGTGACTTTAGTTTCTACGCAATACGGTAACAGACGCTATTGAAAAAGTTTTTGATTAAAAACAGGCGTATATATTTTTATCTATTGAGTAGGTAGGTACACATAATAGAAAATATTCTTTTTTTAAATTGTTTTTTTTTAAACGCCAATTATTATCTGGAGATATGATCATATGTGAGCACCATGTTAGACTATAAGATTTTTATTTTTTTTAAATTAGTATAATGCGTCAAGCGTGTATTTACATTGTTCTCACATATACGTACAATATTAGAGACATTGTAGAACATACTTTTTTAAAAAGAGTAACGATTGGCGTGTCTTGCTCGTTCTTTTCCATTCGAATCCACATTTTGGAATGAGCACCTAGCTTCACCGAGCTTCACTGACGGATTGACTGACAGACTATTATTTATTTTGTATTTGTTGACGTTTCAAAAGTACCAAATTAAGGTTTAATTGAAATAAATGCTTTGACTTTGAGAATCACAACAAAGCGTGACGATTAAAGCGCAAAATACCTCAAGACCTAATTCAATCACAGTAATTATAAGTACTGTTTAAATAATGAGGATGTGGCACAGGCCACATACTGAGAGAGTCTGCGTTACTACAAACCGACATACTTCTGAATGTTCCACGAAGGAAACAGATTGTAGTAAATAAGTGTGGGAGAGCCATGCTTCGGCACGAATGGGCCGGCTCGACCGGAGTGATACCACAGCCTCACAGAAAACCGATGTGAAGCAACGCTTGCGTTGTGTTTCATCGTGTGAGTTAGGTTACCGGGGGCCCAATTACCCTCCCCTTCCCCAATATCCCCAATTTCTGAATCCCCAACGATCCTTAAACTCCTAATCCCCAAAAGGCCTGTAACGCACTTGTAACGCCTCTGGTGTTCCAGGTGTCCATGGGCGACGCCGATTGCTTACCATCAGGTGATCCGTCTGTCGCCGATACGTACGGGCTCATGCCATAAAAAAATGAATAATATATAAAAAAGTATATTATTTTGAAATGAAATAATTTGGGTAGGTATCTAAGTTACGACGGCAGCAAAAATACTATTATTATGTAATAAATACTTCGGTTTGATCTAATGACGTGGATGCCAATTAAAAATGTCTTACTTATAATACATTCATTTTTTAAATTAAATTCTCACGAATCGAAATTTCACTTGAATAATTCGCATTTCTATTATAAGAAAATTGTTCATTGAAGCGGAACCATTTATCGATATTAGCATATTTCCCGCGCCAACGGCTGATCAAATTGGAAGTGACATAATACAATGAATATTACTTAATATGGCAGTTTGGTGATAACAAGGTGGCATTGGAAAGGACTGAATAAATTATCCGAAAATAACTCTGGTCGTGCCGTATACATTTGTCACTATCTCTACTCTTCCGGTGGGTATAGTAAGAGAACTCATTGAGGAACTGAGAGACTGCATATTTTAACAGATACCAGACAGCAGCTCTGTATATTTTTTTATGGAATTAGCAGGGAAACGCGCAGACGGATCACCTGATGGTAAGAAACCGGCGCCGCCCATGGACAGCCAAAACACCAGAGGTGTAACTAGAGCGTTACCGGCCTTTTGGGGATAATGAATTTGAAGATCATTGGGGATTCGAGGATTGCGGGGTAATTGAGCCTCCGGTAACCTCACTCACACGACGAAACACAACGCAAGTGTTGTTTCATGTCAGTTTCTGTGAGGCCGTGGTATCACTGCGGTCGTGCCGGCCAATTCGTGATGAAGCATGGTTCTCCCACACTAAATACCTGAACTTTTTTAAACTGCAATCACAAACTATTTTAGGCGTAGAGATTATGGCGAACCGCTTAAGTAGATGAGGCCCATAATACATCTATGGACGGACACGAGCTGTTTATTCATATGTATGTAAACCCTGGATGACAATAATAGTTCCTATGAATAACGAAATAGGTACAGACTAAGCCGGCTCAAATTACCACAATCTGACAATCTAACAGATTTTCAACCTTCTCATTTGGTAATAAAATAGAAATTTCAATAAAAGAGTATTGACACTACATTAACAAGTAGTTTTTTTGTGAGAATAAAAACTCTTTGGTTATCAACTTATAGAAAAAATGCAGCGACTTGAGCCGTACAAAATATGTTTGTTTTGTCGGCGATTACGTCAGCAGTAAGCAGACTTTATTCAATGTTGAAAAAATGCTGCATTAAAATGCTTCTTACGGCATACAAATTAAAGACGATTTTAATGTGGTGTAAATAGTGCGATTTCCTAGAATTCAATTCCATCTGTTCCATATCGACTATCTAAAAGTTTAAAAATGCCCAACGCAAAAATAATTTAACAGTTCTGGATAAAATTAGCCGCAAAAGTAGATAGATTCTAGCCAACTTTAGATTCTTTTCTTTCTAGTTTTAGAAATAAAATTAACTTTTTGTCCCGCTAATTCCGAACTTACAACTACCACGTTAAACCACTCAACAAAAACAGCATGATAACAGACACATTAAATATTGAAGTTTATAGGTATTAAGTGCTTACCTCCTTTTAACTAGTCCTTTAGGCAGCAATATCACTCGTGCTCCAGTCAAATTATACAGCCTATGTTGGTAGAACGACACTTTTTCTATTTTCTCATCCCAAAGCGCCCTCTTCGGTATTTTAGTGGAAGTGTACGATATCCTTAAATTACATCCTGTCAACAAGACTCATGGTTAATGATATGATAAAGGATAAGGTACTATCAAAATTACTTCAAGAATACTAGGGGACATGCTTCCGTGCAGTCAACAAGCACTTAAAGATACACCAAATTTTTTATTCAATATTCAACCTTATTAGATTGTAATAAAGTTTTAAATCGTTTAAAGAATTTCGTCACTTTCGGATAGCTTTACGCGCTGCTCTAAAGAAAGCTATTACATAATAAATGTTTACCAAAATATGATGTAATCTATGGAGCAGTTGATAAGCGAGAATGTGTATGACTCACCTTCGAGCTTCATAAATGCCGTCGTAGTTTTGTTAATGTGGTATGTTCCCGGGTCGTAATCCGGTACCCTGTAGTGGTTGATCCAACTCTAAAAGACAAATAAAAACATCATCAACGTTAAGGGACGCGTTTTATTAACCGAAGTAAATTACCTGTTCATTGATTGGGCCAAATACGATACTATATTCCAATCTGTGTTATAATTAAGAATTTCGAACCATTTAATCACATTTTGCCCAGCTCAAAGTATCAAACCAGAGCCATCAGAAGTCGTACTTTCCGACCAGTTAGTTCGGCCTCAACAAATAATATCTCCACTTAAGAATATGTGTCAATGTTCCACTCACCTCGTATTTCTTAATAGGCCTATGTTCCTTCACCGAAGGTATCGTATAAGAAGGTGGCATTGCGCTACTTCGCCTCAGTTGATAGAGTTTCGAACTGTCTGCGTCACTGAAATACGTGTCTAGCACCCAGTTCTTCAAATTACTCATAAAACAAAAGAACCATAGACCGAGCACGAAACCATTCCAAATATTCGAATTAGGAAACAGAATATAGCTGATGAAAATCAAGAATGTTAGGAAGTACATAAAAAAGTTGAAAAAGTGACTCGAATTGGTGCTGGTTTTTGGAGCTTTCATGTCATTTTTGCTTGGGGGCGAGCCAAAGTTTGCCGGTGTTAGGGGCGGTGGTATCGGGTCCTTTCCACTCGATATTTGCGGTTCCACATTGTGAATATCGCCGAAGCCATCTATAGTGTCTTCTAGAGCCTCAATCCCTGATTCCACTTCCATTAGGCTGTCATTTAATAAATCTCTTCTTAATTCTGCTGAGTCGTCGTTGTACATAGCTGCAAAAAGATTCCACTTCAAAATGTATTCAACGTTAAACATATTCTATAGCGGTTCTTAAACTTGAACATAACATTGAATTTGTGATATGCAGTATTTTTTAGAACAATAGGGTTAACAAAGAACTAAACATGTGACGAAAACCGCAGTCGAGTGACCTTGGGATCACTATCACTTTTGCCTCTCCATAAACTGTAGGCATTCGAGATTATCAAAAGCAGTATTGTATATTTTCCCTGGAACAACAGCGTACACAGTTGTGTGCTCATTTAAAATAGGTATATACTACACTGTGCTTATTTCCTGACAGGAAATCGGAACAGAAGCACGTGGAGCGAACCGAGAACAGCCGCACTACTCACAACATTATCAGAAACGTTAAAAAAAAATTAAACATAAAACAGAAGGAAATGGGTTAGATACTTAATATACCAAATGGGTTGAGTTAGGTTGCTTCTAATAATACTTTGTACATTCATCCAGTTCGTCTGAAAGTGTAGTACTAAATGACCTAAATATTTAGATAAGTCTAAAATTTCACTCACCTAAATTCTTGTGTGTGTCGTCGCTGGAATCCGAGTGATTCTTGCTATCAACAGGAAGACTTGGATCTCGTTCAGTCGCCTTAGCCGTCAAAGGCTGCGTCATCTCTGACAAATTCTGTATACTGCTGTCTAGAGAAGATACCTGAGTACGAAAACGAAACTAGATTTGTATTTTTTTAGGCATAATTAATTTCCACGATGACTTGTTGACTCTTAAGCAGCAGCCATAAGACTCAAATTACAATAAAGTCAACGAGACATCGTAAAATGCTAATTTTATTATGATAGGCAGTTGTATTCAAAGTTGAGAAGTTGAGCATACTTGAGCAAGACGAATTAATAAGAGTCGGTGAACTCTATTGAACCCGAGCAATGAGGGGGTAAAGCGAAGCAGACTTCTTAGACAAAAGAGTGCATTCCCTTGATAATTATATTGGTATCAAAAGTTACAGGTGACAGCATCACACAAATATACCATACAATGATACAATCAGGTTGCCATAACTAAGCATCACATGGCAAGCCAAACGTCTGGCAAACGGACATAACAGGGAAATCAGCGTAAATATTTATCAGCTATAGCATTCATACAGGTTAACCCCTTCGCACACGAAGACAAGAAAGTTACGTCGCTACCTAACAGTCCAAATATGTCCCCACATGAGGCTTGTCATGATACATTTTATTTCTTTGTTTTTTTTTGTAGTAGGAATTGCTTGCTTCTAGAGAAATTTAACAAACATGACCTGGTTGTGTTGCTTCTAATGACGTGAATATATCGGATTTTGGAGTCCAGAACCTGAACATGTCAACAGGTTTTTGCTAGAAATTATTGCAGCTTATAATATTAAATTAAATTTTGCCTTCTATACTTTTAAATATCCAGGGAAACATGCATGGATGGCGATGGCAACCCTCGTCAAAACAAAGTTATAACAATACACTTATGATTCGTGTGCGAAGGGGCTTCAATGCGCTATGCGGTGCGTACTTAGGTAATATTTCATTAGATACCTAAACAATACAAAGACATTGATAATGCTTGAATGCGGGTAACTTGGTCACTTCAAGTGTCACTTACATGATCTTCAACGTCAACTGAGGTGGGCTATGGTGGTATCATGAATAGAATACTTTAGAAAGTCAGTATGTTAGTGTTATGAATGTGAATGGAAGTTATTCAAGGCCTACGACACACTTTTCGGATATTCCGTCGGGGATTTCGCATGCAGGGGAAGGCTAGGACATGTCTGTTACTCCTAGAATTGGGATGATGACAGGGTATGAAAATAAAAAAAATAATTAGTCCGTCAGTTAGGTAATTAAAAAATATTAGACACGTATTTTTTATTTTGTCGTATAATAAAACAATACTTAGATAAAACGAATCAAAGTTTAGGGGTGGGGACTAAACGTCATTTCTACGTATAAAATGTACATAGAAGTGACGTCACGCGACATTTCAAAATTTTCAAATCAATATAGCGTCGAAAGTATTAGTTTTTGTAAGAAAATAAAAAATACGTGTCTAAAGATTTAAAATAATCTACCAGACGGAACTTAAAATAAAAATTAGGCATCTACCCTATTCTCTTAATTCGGTTTGGGGGAACGAGTTTTAACCAGATTCGGTTTAATATTGGTATTTTACATGGTGCAAATAGTTAGTCCTGTTGTTAACTTATTCGCTTCTGATATACCATAACAACTATTATAGATGTTGGTATGACAATCGGAACAGACCATTTAACGTGCTTATGTCTGCGACGGAATTTGCAAGTGTGTCGTAAACCCAAATGTTGGTCGGCCAACTGACAGTTCAATAATTTAGGCACAACAGGCCCTTTATATTCTTGTTAAGGATGTCGGACCATGTTGGCCGACCAATATGTAAAGGATGACCAACATACCTGGTTGTCTGTATCTCCAACACTCTGCTGATCTGAATCTTTGATTGCTGAATTCTCCTCCGAGTCCGATATCGAATTTTCTCTTGGAATTGATTTTTCTTTAGTCTCTGTTTATAGGAAAAAAATAACAAAGAATTGTTAATGCAAGTATCATTTTATAAGTCTCTGTTTGTAAGATCAAATATTCTTTTTTAAATATAATTTATTATAATCATCAGTTGCTACTAGTATTTTTGGTTTGAACTTATGTCTAATGGAAGAATATGAAGATCATAGACATAAATTATTAGTAAACTACATTAAAAATTATTAATGATTATGATGATAGATCATAATAATGAATTAATTTACTACTTCTAAACATTTTTTATTACTAGCTAAGAGTCCGAGAATATTATTTTTGCAATGTTAGGTAGTAAATAATAATGATTATTATAATAGTTCATGCACAATGACTGGCAGATACACCACTACACTATAATAAACAATTAAATGTGTATCTAACCTACATAATGCAATAGAAATATCTATTAGTAGGAACCTTGCATCAAGTTCGAGTTTAATTGACCTTAATAACATAACCTAACCATTTGATTTGGAATTAGGAACTTTAAAATACTATTGCTTAAGGATTTAATTCCTTTGTTCTTAGTTTCCGAAAATATTACTTTGGATTAATCTTTGTTTTGCAATAAGTATGATGTTGTAAGTACCATACAGAAGTGCACAATTATAAATGAATGAATGCCTATTTACTATCACCTTGAATAGTGTAAGCTGTTTATTTTATCAGTGTATTCTGTACTTGTTTCAACATGTTTGTAAAACTAAAGTTCAGTAAAACGTTTTGTAGAAAAAATTAATCTTCTACTTAGTAATTTTAACACTTTAATCTCTGGCTACTGGTTTGATTATAAGATTCTCTTTGTGTTGGACAGGTCATTTATCCAGGAAGGTTATAAGCTATAAAATGTTACGCTATGGCCAATAAGAGCTGAGCAGAGCGGATGACACCACATGAGAGTACCTAGTTAATACTAAAGATCTGTAATGGGCTTGAAACGGACTCCATATGAAGCATATAACATTTTTTTCTTAATTATCATTATTCTGTCATATTCATTATGTTGCTATTAGGTACAACTACTTTAGAGTTAAATAATCAATGCTTAGTCTTAGTACATTAAGGACCCATGTTCTTAATCTAATAAATACAATGGCAATTTAGGGATAGGTCCATTAGTACTCCTTATCTTGAATATTATCTGTCACATAAAATAAATTCAAACTCATTAAACTGTCAAACACCAAGCGGTCACCGGTGGCCGCAACCTATTGTTCTATAATTGCGTCTACAAAACCGGTACTCGACGAGTTAATGACCAGAATAAGGAAAGGACATTAACTATAAAACTAGATAGTCATTATAGTTTTTTTTGTCATAGATTATACAATTAATGACATAGACAAGCTTTATGGCAAATGATCTGCATATTTTTTTTAATTTAGTTTTTTGTAATATAAAAACTAACAATGGTGTGAAACACCTGGCCGGTACAAATTATCATAGTTCATTACATAATTATGATGAAATATTTACTAGTTCCCGAGTACTTGGTATTAACATTATAAAACATAGGAAATAACAATGAACTCACCTTCTACTGAGCGAGTCTTCATATCTTCAACAGCTTGAGCTATTTTAAACTTGAAGTCGTGGAATATCTTCCATGTTTCGTTGCTACCTTCCTTAACATCAGGAGTCACATCTGGTGTACTACGCTTGCCCAGTCGGTTCAGATACTCCTTCATAGGCGAAGATGTGACTTCCTTAGGTATAGGAGCTTCCTTACCCTTCACTTCTTCTGGTTTATTTTCCACTGGTTTAACTTCTTCAGGCTTTTCTATCTTCTCGGCCCGAATTGATTTAAAATATTTATCTATGATAGATGAAGACCTCTCCCCTCTTTTAGGACTTGCATTTTCAACAGGTGTGCTAACAGGAGGGTCACACTGCGGAGTAGGAGGGTCATCCTCACAAACATGGTACAACTCCTCTAACTCCTCATTGTTGGCATTGTACCTGAATGATAGAGAGGTATTTGGAGATTTACCTGAAAACAAAAACACTGTTACACAACAAGCACTTTACGTAGATCCACTCTTTAAAAAAATATATATTCACCCATTATTTATTTAGGACATTCACACGAATTTATTTAAAACGCACTAAAAATACAACACAAAGGCAAGAACGCAGAAAGCTTAGTGCTACAATGAAACACGATTGGAGCGTTTAAGTGGCGATCAATTTGTGGCTGATCGTTGTGTTATCGTCTTTGTTGTCAGAGGAACAACATCCAATACCGAAACTTGCACACTAATCTATACTGATAAACAACCGGCCCTCACAGATACTGACGTAAACTGTTTATTTAAGTAAACAAGTTTCCTATTCCGCGAATTTGTCATATGCGAAAATTATTGGATTAAAGCTGTTGGTAAATTAATTCGACACATACCCACTCCAGAAATCTCCATTTTATTAAATTCAGGATAAAAATTATTTAATTAGAACCATAGTTTTATTCATATTATTCAGAACCAACTCCTATTATAAGTAATTTATATTAACTTCAGGGTCTTTCCCTTTAATTTTAATAAAAGTTGCTCTACTCGCTGATCAAAAATAAGATTTTCTTGTCAGTCATGAAATGTCAACTTGTCATAGTGAAATGTCATACTTACAAAAGTCCCTAGTAAACGTAAACAATATCGATTTTGCACTTAGTCGATTCGAAGAGGTGAGAACCAATTAATGAATGGTATCTAAAGGCAAAAATACATTACCGTGGCCTTAAATGCGACATGTTAACCAACATCATAGACAGTTTGAAAAATTCATATTTTTTATTTTCTGCCTTCTTCGTGCGCTGTACTGCATGTATTAAATGTAAATTGTAATGGACCTAAGCGCCAGCTCACATCCAGAGGTGACGCAACTTTATTATAAGAAGTAGGACGATAGTGATAGCGTGCTGCGCCGCCGCGAGTCCTATGCAACACAGTATCTGTCCGCACTGTAAAGTCGTTAACAATACAAAGTCGCACGTTTCGCTACGTCAAAGAGCGAATTTCATTTTCATACCTTACCTTACCGTAAAAGCGAAAAGGGTTACTTAAAAATGAACTTTAAGTTCTAAAATTAAATAAAAAATACACATTTCAACTGTGACACCGCAGCGTCGACTTCGGCGTGTTGAGCAGTGGCGAGCAGCCTCATATGACGCCGACGCGGCGTGTCTCAATCTCAAGCCGCATTTAGTCAAAGGTTAAAATTCAATGTCGAAAAAACTTGACTGCAGGGTAACGTTAAAAACAAGAATTTGATTTGAAAATCCATATGATCGTACTATTGTTTTTAGGAACATACTAAAATGATAAGAAATCGACTAAAGCTCCTCTAATATGATTCAGTATAATCTGTTGCATCAGTCGACCTCCTGTCAAAAACAACATTCGCGAGGGTTCTTTTGTAGTGTTTTGGTTTTTACGTTATATTTCCACAGAAATAATGGAAATTGGACATGTGATTAAATACAAAGTGAATTAAATTAAGTGATAAATATGAAGTACTTATTTGTGACATTATTCTTGTTTGGTTCCTACGGTGTAGGTTCTCTTGTTGATAGTAGTGGAAAGGTGAGATTGCACCGATTGCGCCGCATTTATTATTGATAGAACTGTGAAATGTGTGAATACAAGGTTACGTTTGTATATTGAGCGGTGATTATTATTGTTGTAGGAGAGTACGGAGTTGTCTCGTGCTTTTGATGAGCGGCCCCTGTTGTTTGCCACGTTAGGGGGCGGCATGGTTGCAGTGGAGCCTCTGGCGGGCAATATTATATGGAAACTTAAAGATGGTAAACTAAAACTTAAATAAGAACTCACTAACAATAGTTTTAAAGAGAACCAGTTGTTTTTAAGGGAATCTAACATGGGTGTTTTAACACCTGTAAGTTTGTTTACCAAAGTGCACTTTGAAACTTTAAATGCTTTGTTCATTATTATCTATTAATGGTTTACTTTGGTATTATTAAACTACATAGAACGTAGAATAAATAATGTTTACTAGAATTTATTAGAAGTGACTCATTGTGACAAAACAATATCTTTGAAATATCATGTAAATTTCTAAATTCTTAAGCAATCATCAGGTGTCTTATCCTATACTAGACTATAAATAACACACTCATTATATTATCTGTTATCAAACAACTAAGAAGGTAACTTATAATAGCTAAAAGTAATATTTTGATGCAACATTATCGGAATAACCCTATAAAATTCTTACTCAAAATGTTTTAGTTAATTTTTTTATGGGTTAAATCGTAACATTAATCAACAGATAACAAATAAATATCATATCACATATTATCCTCATTTTAGTTCTATGCCTCCAATATTTTACATTAAATGGACAGATAAAAGGATTTAGATAAATATTGGGTAATTCAAATGTTTATTTATCATATTGCTAGTTATTTATTCTGGAAAATAATAGAATTTACTTATTTTTAACCTGTGTATTACCAGAATGTTTCTAATATGGCCAGAGTTGCAAGTAATGTGTTAAAATTATTAGAAAAAAATGTGATTAAAAACAATAAAAAAAATGTTGCAAAGATATACTACATTACTAAATTCATATAAGAACAACATTTAAATTACAGTACAGTATTATCATTATATTGATATTATCAGTCTAAGTAGTTATCAGTGTTTATTGGGTGCCCAATACTATATTGGATAATTTTCTAATACACTTTGTTGCCACTTGATAACACATAGTTTCCTCAATCAGTGATATTTTTTGTTTACTCGAGTTTTAATAAACTTTATCTCGAGTATTGTAGTTTTATGGTAGTGATTTCCTATTAAGATTTATTGATTAGTTACTAGTTTGTACCTGTGCTTTAATGTACCTATTTTAAATTATGTGGCGATATTTTCTGTGAAAAAGTGTGAAATATTGAAGTACAAGTAGACTTTATATCAATTACACAAAGAACTCATTTAACTCGTCGAGTACTGTCATTATAGACACAATTATTATAGAACAATAGGTTGCGGTCAGCGGTGACCGCTCGATGTTTGACAGTTTAATGCTCAGTCTAAAAAATTAAATTTTAAAATCCTTCAGCATCTAATTAGTGATGTACGTCATTATAGATTTGAAATATTTGTTTCTGAAATAAAGAGTAAGTCACTATTTAGAACACATATTCAATAAAAAACTATTATGCCATGTTCCATACATTATTCATTATCATTATAACTATTACTGTGTATAGTCATTAATTTAAACATATGTGACTGGCACATGCAACCCATTCAACCATTAAATCGATTAAAAAGTTCCAATGTATTATTAGGTCACAGATAAAAAATAGTATCTCATCGTATTTACCAGACTTACATAGATAGAAAATGTTATCTGAAAAAAAAATCTTTATCAACTCTTTGGTATACTTTGTTGCTAACAATATTTTGTTGAATGGAACAAATGGAAGCATCCAGATTATGTAAATTGTACAATTTGGTGATAGTAATATTTTTATTATTAATTAATTGGGCAGGTGTAATCTTTTGAAGTAATTTAGTACACTGATATGTTATTATCTTTTGCATATTTATTCAGCAACAGCCATTACAAAGTTTCATATATTAAACAGGCCTTACACACATTTTTGCATAGTCTTAAATCAATCTTTTATTCAAATATCAACATTAATCCAGAGACATTAAATTGAAAATCAAACTTAATAGGAATCAAGAAGACATCCAAATAGAAATATGGTAAAGCATTTTAATTTTCATCTTTATATTAATAGAAGTAAAGTTTAAATTAGTTTGAGAATTGATTGTTTCCTAATAACTATGGATCTACCTCAGAAATAACAAACTACAGTTCTTAGGCTTGAATTTCAGATTAGTTCTAGTCTTTAAGTTCTCTATTATTATGTAGATTGGATGTGAAATATCACATAGAAAATACTCTTTGCATGAAGTCATTACCATAGATATCTCGTAATCTAACCATGTATTGTGTTGTTGCATTCAAATTATTTTGCAGTAGGTATTATGTTTAAGAATATAGAAGGTGATTTAAAAATAAACTAGTTCATTTTGAATAGTTAGGTATGATTTTGTGAAGGATTTTCTTTAAAAAATATCATCATCGTCATCAGCAACAGCCGGAAGATGTCCACTGCTGGATAAAGACCCCTGAGAGGGGGGGGGGGGGGTTTGCTATAGAATGTACACCCGGGTCCGTTTAAAAAATAACTACTTAAATGCTTTTTTCTTGGTTCTGTCTATTTAATTTTTGTGTTAACTAACTTGTTAATTAGTGATAAAATCGGGCATCGGGCAAAAGTCCAAACTGCGCTCTTACAGAAAAACCCAACTGTCCTCTTGTCTCGGCGATTGAACCCAAACAAATCTAAAATAACCGTGATGTTGAATAAATATACTTACTTCCAATATAAAAGTAAAAAGTTTTTGTTCATTCAAACAAATACACTCGCACGATTTAGGTGAAATGCATTTAAATAGTTCCCATTCTAAGGCGCTCCACACACTGTACCGCGCCGAATATAATAATATCTTGCTGAATCTGCCATTCTGCGCGTCGGCAGGGTGTTGTGCTAGGCGTGACTTCTATATAAATTGAGATAATTGTATCAATATTAAAATATGCCATCCCGTGCTACGCGACGCGGCGCAGTGGAGTGTAGTGGGTGGGGCGCCTAATAGGGACCTTCCACCGTGCTCCAGCAAGGTGATCCTCCCCTTATGTTGTGGGTGTCCATGGGCAGCACTGATCGCTTACTATCAGATAATCAGTCCATAAATTAAGAATTAACACAATTTTCTTCTTTTTTAGAACCAGTAGTAAAAGTACCGAATCAGCAAGCTGACTTAATGCCCCAATTCCTCCCGGACCCTCGACATGGGTTTCTGTACATGTATGGCCCTCGAGGGGATCAGCAGATGCTGAAGAAGTTACCATTTACAATACCGGAGTTGGTAGCGAATGCTCCGTGTAGATCGACTGATGGTATCCTGTATACCGGCAAGAAGAGTGACACTTGGTTCATGCTGGACCCGCTCACTGGATTTAGGGAACATGTTTCAGGTATGTATAAGGTCATTGAAAACTTGAAAAGATTAAAAACTCTTTAATACCTTACCAAATCGAATACGAGAGGTCTTGTTCAGTAGTCACACTTGCTAGCGACCAATTGATGAATAAGGCGGATTGCATTTAACGTTGCCTTACGTTGACTGCGACTGCCGGGCAAGGGGTCTCGGGTTCGATTCTCGGGTCGGGCAAAGTACTACTGGATTTAAAAAAAAAAGGCCAGTAGTAGCACGCAGTCTGGAAATGTGCCAGGTATATGGCAATAGGCTCACTCCCTATTACATAGGACTCATAACATAAGTAGTGAAAAGTGGGTGTCACTTCTGTGTGCACCTCTGCCTACCCCTTCGGGGATAAAAGGCGTGATGTTATGTTATGTTTTTAACGTATTTTAATAGTTTACGATACTAGCCTAGCGCATATATCGCTAAAGCCTCATAAAATATATTTTATATTTTTCATCATTAGCTCAGACGACCTTTACTTGTTTATCTAGACCTAGATCGTTGGGCAATCCCAATATTAAATGAGTATAATATATGTTATTGTTGTTGATAAGTTTTATTTACACATTATTATGTAGGTATAGTTTGTAGGGAACATTCTAATACTGACCCTGAATGACCGAATTGATCTGTTCACTAGATTAGATAATAACGAAGTTAATAGGCGATTACATTATAATATTATTACACACACATAACATCACGCCTTTTATCCCGAAGGGGTAGGCAGAGGTGCACATTATGCCACTGTACAATGTAACACCCACTTTTCACTATTTATGTTACGAGTCCCATGTAATAGGGGGTGAGTCTATTGCCATATACCGGGCACAATTCCAGACTCCGTGCTACTACTGAGATTTTTTTTAAAAACCCAGTAATACTTTGCCCGACCCGGGAATCGAACCCGAGACCCCCTGCCTGGCAGTCGCACTTGCGACCACTCGGCCAACGAGGTAGTCAACGAATTGATCTATTCCCTAGATTATATTATTATAATAACGAAGTTAATAAGCGATTAAGTACATTATAATATTATATCTTTATTAATATGAATCCTGAAATCGATTCACTGTCTAATATTTATTCAGGAATTCTTGTACACTGAATAATTAATGTAGTTTAGTTTAATGTAAAATCGCTGTAACTTCTTGTCCTTTGCTAAATCGAGTCTTGTATCCCGCTAGGGGAGCCAATAAAGCGCTGTTGTTTAGCTTCATAAACATGTAAGAACTCTTTATAAAAATATTGATGAATGATTTTAGGACATATCTGAAATAGATAGTATTTTAACGCCAATACATTAAAATACTTCAACCTGTCTGTCTTCAATCGTTTTTCGACTTTATTATAAGGAATAGTAGAGTTGAATTTCTAGTAAAAAAATTAGATGTGACAGGTGAAGTTGATAACAATGGTTATCCCAAAGTTATTCCCTATGGCCTATACTCCTATAGCAATGCGATAAGTTATATAACCAACAATAAATATGTGTCCTTGGTCGCTACAAAAAACTATAAATGCGACAGTGCCATATGGATTGAAAGAGCGTAATTACGAAGGCTTATCGACGTATGGTAATTACCGCTGCGCTGGTAACGGACACATGGTTTACTTATGACGTAGCGATGTCAGGCCCATTGATTTATATATACAGATAAATAGATATACTGTTATTCTACACCCGTATGCTGAATGGGAAACTGATACGGAAGAACTAATGACTTAACTAATTTGGCGATTAGGAATAACTATGTATTAATTCTTCGGGACACTAGTATGTAATTCAAATTATCTACTTGCTTCGTATTTATTTAACCCTTTGAGTACCGTCATTATAGACACAATTAATAACCCTTTGAGTACACTGTTTAAAGAACAATAGGTTGCGATCACTGATGTCCTCGCGGTGTTTGACAGTTTAAAGCATTTTCTAACATTTTGGTTCCCTACTTTATTGAGATCTGTAAGCTGCCTTCCAAACGGGACTACGGCATATCACCTCTTAAAAGGGAGGTAGACCTTTGTTTAGCGAAGGGCCTAAGTATTCAGGCTGATACAAATGATTAAAAGTGTTTCCCAACAGTTTATTTAAACCAGATGTTCAAACGTTATCACGCTTGAATACTTAATCAGATTAAAATGTTAGATATCTAAGATATACCTACGTAAAATATTAAATTAAAGGTAATAGCATTTTAATACACATTACTACGTGTAACCCAATTAAAAAACCTTCAACATTTAATATTCTATAGATTTAATTCAACAATTTCATCTCGACTGTACCTTACATTTAGTATGGAATCAGTACGCACTTTCACTAAAATTAAACGTCAGCCCGGAAAAGGCTTTTCCATTCACATTATGTATAGCCGTTGATCTGGAAAATCTTTGTATCCGAACTTAATCAAGTGTTAAATAGTATTGACATTTCACGGATGTTACGGTCCTTTATAAATTGCTATACGCTAGAGACATTTTGTGTCGTTTTAATCTCTTGCCTGTCGGAACGCAGATCTATGCGAGTGTCTCGCAAAATGTGCTTTCTATTGTGTCTCTATGTCGAGAGACAAGAGGTTAATAGTAAGTAGTTATAGTCGGCCAAGTTATTTGGTATGCAAATAGGTTTATTCGGTTTTCAATGCAAATATAAATGTATATAGACTAATATTTAGCGATCTCCACTGAACTTTAGGTATATCAATGTTGCGTCGTCGGTCTAAAATTAGTAGGTAATATTATATCATTGGGGAAAATATAACTGGTTTAATATACCTACCTGTTGCCTTTTACCTCTAAATTCAATATGCATTGGCCTTATAAGGTTTAATACTGTTATACCTAATACCTAATTTGGTTTTCGAATAGACTTTAAAATTCAACAGGATAGTAGACATATTGTACCTAATACAGTTATTTTTAAACAACCGCTATGTTTGTGATTACCCGTATTTAGCTAATTAAGTATACTTGTTAACGAACACCTTACTTCACGAAGCAACCAACAGTGGAAAGACATTTTTTAAAATTTTTCTTTTTAAAACTTTTCTAATTTCATCTCAATGGTCATTAACTACCTACTAATAATTTCTTTCGCAATCTACAACAGCTTTTTTTAAAACCCATAAAACCAATACTCACGAATACATAATTCTACGAAGTACGAATACATTCGCAAGTCTGATTACAAACCACATACCTAGTACAGCTACACATAGCAAAACTAAGAAACAGTTGTTATATCGAACTAAGAAAAGTTTACATTTCTCCTTCACTCGCAGGTTTCGACAAATCAAAGATTTTCAAGAATGCCGATGACAATACGTGTTCCCCGGATAAAAAGAGAGGAATCTACGTTGCGAGAACTGAGTACAATATACTGATGCATGATTCTAAAAATCAGAACCATAAGTGGAATGTCACATTCTTCGATTACACGTCCTTGGCTATGGGGAAGGAGATGCTGAATGATTACGGTGAGTTATCTTGTTATCATTTGGTTGAATCGTTGGCGTAAAGTCTGGTTTTAGTTTGGTGTTCCTTATATCTTGGATATTTTGATCTTAACTTCGTTTTCTCATTGTATTATGTAACTTTGTCCACATACTTTTGAATTGGTTTCCTATCACATTTTTAATCTTCTTTTTTAGATGAAGTAGAGTTTTATAACTCTATATTTTACTCCATTACCCTCTCGCGTGTTTCTCGTACACACGGGTGTACGAGAGAGTTGAGTGCCCATCGCGCAATTGTACACACAGGTGTACGAGAAACGCGGACCGATTGGATATTTTTTCTGTGATGTATATTTGCAACCCGTTTTTTATTTAATTGAACAGAATAGTTAATTCGCTTTTCTATTAAAATATTTACACGTGTGTACGAGAACGCGCGTTTGTTTACCCGTGTGTACGAGAGGCGCGCGAGAGGTTACTTATGAACTGGCCCTATGGACCGACGGCTAATGACAGAGGGTGAACATATCAGTTTCAGAGCCTTTAGCAACAAAACATAATTATGATAAAAACATCACATATTAAACCCCTTAATTTTCTAACAATACATCCATTAACACAATACATAATAAACCTTGTTTGTATACAGGTATAATCCACTTTACATCAACGTCAAATGGTCGTGTGATGTCCTTTGATCGTAAGACAGGTGACCTCGTCTGGTCACACAATTTTGAGACTCCAGTAGTTGCCGCCTATTTGCTAGACAGAGACGGGCTTATCTCCGTCCCTTTCAATTCTATTGGTGATGATACCCTGGATCATATCATGGAGGATGCCACTACATTGAGCAACGGACAAGGGATCAAGAATTCTAATATTGAATTATAGTGAGTATACTTTTTGTTTGAGCTTTTAGGGGCTGTCAGCAAAATTATATTGGAAATTAGCTGTTGTTCTCGACTTCGTCCGCGTAGTATAATGACATCTGGCAGAATTTAGGCTTTCGAATTAGGTTTTATCAAGGGATATTCTACGCCCTACGGTAGGTAATGAATGTCGTCAGAATTAATTTAGTTCCATAAGCGATAGTGTGATAATTGGCCTATGTGTTGACCCGACCTGTAAGTAATATTCATGCAAAATTTGAAGTAAATCCATCCAGTACTTTTTGACATCATTCCGGACATACATGCAGACAAACAGACAAAAATTCCAAAAACCATATTTTTGGCTTCAGTATCGATTGTCGATCACGCCCCAAGTATTCCTTTTAACCCATAAATCCCCAAGCGGTCACAGGTGACCGCTTTCCACTAATATTACATTACATATAGACCTTATTTCTAATGTTTAGAGAATACTTTTGTATGACCAAATTTAGGGGATGGATATCAACGGGTAAAAAATATTCAATGTACACTTTTGACTTTTCTACGATTTTATTATACCTATGTATAGAAAAGTACAATGATAAAATGCCATGCCACTTTCCAATTACTTGAATTTTGATAATACGCATGCCTTACGTGATTTAGATTTTGTTCATACTTATGGGTGTTTTATTATCTATTATATGGGCGTATTTGGTCTTGGTTAAAAATTCCTAGGATTACAAAAAAGTGATAGGATTATAAAACAGTCTAGTAAAGAATGCACCACGATGAAATTGATTGACACCGACCAACACATGTGTATCGATAGACGTTCCACATTACACGTCTCGATAATAAATCGATAAACATCGTTTTGAAGTGACAGATAACAAAATAATGTGTGAGAAGTACCGATAAATGGTTCTTCTACGTTCTAATATGAGAGAGTATTATGTTTCAAGTAATGAAATTGGTCTGAATGGAGATAAGCTGCATCGTTTGTGGGCCTTGTGTGAAGTTTGTATTGGTTACTGTCATGAGGTCATATGATCTCGGGTCAGACAAACTATTTCTTCTCTTTTTATTTCTATTGAGCTTTTCGATGTTTAATACCACCCTGTCCAAATTTTTAAGGAACCTTCAAGGAAAAATGAACATTTAACAATATTTTAGTTTTCGTAACACATAGTAACAGTAGTTAGGTATCATTCACCTACAAGTAAAGGATTGGTTTAGGTGTTTCGTCACGCTAAGTAACTTTTAGTTAAAAGATGGTTTAAGGCTGTTTGTCCATAAATCCTTCATGGAACGGAGATGTTTCTTCCTTATCCTCGGATTTAAGAATCACATGTAATCATGATGATTAGAGAAAGGTGTGGATTGAAAGATGATGTATTGAAAAGAGAATTTACGCTGGTTTCGACATGTAGAAAGGATGGATGAAAGTAGAGTAACGAAAGAAGTATACAGAGCGGATATGAGGCCGTCGGTAGAGGGCGCCCTAGACAGACATTTAGTGACCAGATTGGCGATATATCAAAGAAGGGCCAAATTAAAAGTAGGTACCCTTAACCGACGAGCATGCATGAAAAGATTGATGACTGTTGATGAAGCTAAAGAGGTATGTAGGAATCGTAGTAATTGGCGTTCCCTAGTCTCTGCCTACCCCATGGGAGACAGGCGTGAAGTTATGTATGTATGTATGTTTGTAATCATGGTACCTGAAGTTTCTCCGTTACCGTTTATGTGTTAAAGTAATTCGATATTCTCATTATGTGCTTTGTAAAGGTTTAAATAAGTAGAAAAATATTTCTCATTTACACCAACGCGTAGACCACTTTTATAAGTTAAAAACCTTTTTAGGTTGCGTCTCTAAAAAATTAAGAGTAATGATCCTATTAAACGGACTTGTGAGGTACTTTAGTGGGGAGCTTTATGTCCAAGTATTTTCTTAAGTAAAATGTTTACTGTTCTAGCTACGTATAATGTACGTTGTAGAATATATCCACTTTCCGTTGTTTATTAATAAATTGACCAGTTTTTGGTTGATTTTTTATGGGATCAGCCAGTGAGCGAGCATAGGGATCACTTGATAGTAAGCAATCGGCGACGCCCATGGACACCCGGAACACCAAACACAAGTGCATTACCGGCCCCTTAGGGATTTGAGGATTGTTGGGGATTCAGGGACTGGGGGATTAATTGGGCGACCGGTAACCTCACTCACTTCTGTGAGGTCGTGGTATCACTGCCGGTCGGCCCATTTGTGCCGAAGCATAGCTCTCCCGCACTTAAATGACAGATAATGATATCCTCTAGCCTCCTAATTATTTCCTGATACATAAAACATACCACAACCTCCCATTTCGATATGAAAGAAAGACAAACACTTGCGCAATTTGTAAGCGTATAAACAGAAAATCTGCGAGAGATGAGAATGTCTGTAAATAGACTTAATTTGCATATTGTATGTCATTTGAAAACCGCTCTGATTACATGATTATAGTTCTAACATTACAAAAATAGTCCCTATTTTTATGTATAAAAAAATATATTTCTTTTTAGCATACATAGAAAAAAACTTTGCTAGACAGATAATAGAGGTAAATAGATTAGAAAAACATCCGTAAAATTAGGGTTTTGGAAATACAGCGCAACATTTTATTTCATTGAAACACATTCAAATTAAGTTTACACGCATCGGTGATTATGTTTCCGCATTTACACAATAATATATTGTTATTGGTGTTGTTTTCTGTGTTTTACGATGGAATAAATCAAAGGACATGAATATGTTGAATGTAATATACATAATATTCCATACATCAAAATATCACGTTTGTATTGTAGGCGTAGTAAACTAGCGACTGGCTGTATCACAATGCAATGAAAGAGAAATTCGAAAGTTTAAAAACCGAATCATCGACAATTGAAATAATAATAATAATAAAAAAAAGTTTGAAATAAATAAGTTCTTATTTTAATATCTAATTTCCTTTCCAGCCCCACACTGTACGTTGGTGAACACAACCATGGCCTCTACGCGTTATCATCACTCGTAGACAAAAATACGATCACAATATCGACCGGCCACGCACAGCCCTTACTTCTAGAAGGCCCGACAGAAACCGAACCAAAATCAGAAGAAACCTACCAATATGAACCATTCAAAAATGTTCACTACAAACTAAAAGATTTGAATTTACACGTATCAGCCCCATATCTTCTACTAGGACATTACAAAGTCCCCGAACTGACGACAAACTGGATGCCTCAGTTACCAAATTCGAACTTCTTAAACGTTCATAACTCACAGAATAGTGCTATCAAGTTAATCAATGGGCAGGTGCATTCGGAAACTGACAACGATGTGGAGAATGAGACGAATTTAAAGTCGAATCCGAATCCGAATTCCATATCTGTCTCAGTGCAAACTGAGGAATTGTTCGAAGGTCTTGAGTTTAGACCTGATTTATGGTACAAAAAAGCGTACTTGTGGTTCCACCAGCAAGAGAATCAAGTTCTCAAAGTTGCGCTAATAATTTTGGTTGGACTAGTAATTACTATGTTCTGGTATCTTCGATATCAGGTGAGTTACCTTTGTTTTATTTTTTTTATCTTTATAGATACACTTTCTCTTTGTTTTGAGGGAACTAGGTAGAATTACTGCTGAGTTCTAACCAGCAGCTGTAGCCAAATGCCATTTAGCGCTTGTCTACATGTAGAATAGAAAACCAAATTATATGGAATTGACGTAAATTTTGACATTTGTCAGTGTCATCCCCATACATTTAGTTTTCTACTCTCTCTGTAGACAAGCGCTAAAGTGGCGTTTGGCTAAAGGCACAGATTGGAGTTAATGTCAGTATTTTTTATAGACTGCTGCTATATCTATCCTGCTCAATACATTCCATTTATGATGATAAAACATTTGGGATTAAACTCAAAAAGGTTTTCCTAATGGCGTGTTCTGTGAAACACCAGACCATTTCATATTCTTTGTGTAATTCACATATCGTTATTCTAGATAGGGATGCGATAGTAAAAATTAAAAAGAAACTTCGTATTACAGTTGGTTTACACGCCTCTAGATTCTACGCGGTTGCCAGGCTAAAATATGATTTAGTATCTGAAATAAAAATGCGTTATCGCCACGCGGCCGCCTTGTTGGTGCCAACACGCCGGTACAAACGTGATTAGTATTTGTATACATGCATTTATACCTTATCATATGGCCGACCGGCTTGCGATTGGAAATGGATGACATTGAATTTTGCGTGACGTTCGTTGCGAAACGTTCTGCTCATTACAAGCTGTGTTTAACTCTTAATTAATTTAGGAAAGTTATTGTTGTTTTTAAATTTCCGTATTTCATGGTAGGGTGTAGCTATTTGCATGAAGGAAGGTAGACTGTAGGAACACATTATTATCTTATACTATTATATAAAGCGGAAGAGTTTGTTTTTTCGAACGCGCTAATCTCCGTAACTACAAGTCTGATTTGAATAATTTTTATGTATATGTATATTCAACTGGCCATTTAAGTATGCCAAGTACCACAATATGTTTAAACAACTGCGATTTATTGACTTTAATTTTGATATATTGGTATAGTTAGCTACACTGGCTAAAACATAATAAAATAATAGTTAACTTACATACGATAGCTTATTTATTTATTTAAACAATTACTTTAGGAGGACTTAATGCTAACAGCATTCTCTGCCAGTCATCCTTTGGGTAGTGCAAAAAGGTTATGAGAGGTAGGGATATAACTATCAAAATTATTATAAGCATTAACAAAATACGTACAAAGTAATAAATATAATTATAGTTTAGTTAGTGCATTATGCTTATAATGTCGCGGAGAACCTAACGGGTTACCGGTTACGGTGCTCTGGCTCGACGTGCAGGAGAAGGAACGGAGTGGTTTTTAGTCAGTAAGAGTCTGACACTCCCTCCCGCCTCACCCAGGCGGGAGTAGTCATTCGATGATTTTCCCCCCTTAAAAAAGTATGATTATAATAAAAAATATAGAGGTACTTGTATCAATTGAAGTTCAAGGTTACCTTTCAGATGCTAAATATAATTGTTCGAAGCAATCTAGTAAACAGTGCTTGATAAAAGTTATCGAGAATGTTCGGATAGATTTACTCGTGAAATTATTTTATCATTACTGCGTTTGGGTTTATCAACATCACAATTTTGATTTGGGTTTTTATTATACTTGTGTATCGTCATACAAATAATAAGAGTGAGTTAAGAACATTTCGGTGTTTTACATGAAACCCCAAAAAGAAAGTGTTTTAGAATCACTTCAATGAAGTCACCATAAAATATTCGTCTAGTCTCTGCCGGAGTTACCACTCACAGCATGTTCATAAATACCTTTCGCTATCGTACTGTAATTAATCTTCTAACCAATAACCGGTAAGTATCGTAAGTAAGAATCGGTCCGGGATTTGGGAGTGCTTATGACCAAAGATTTGTCATTCAGGGAGCATATCGCGAAGGTTTGCTCTAAAGCTTACAGAAGTTTGGGTTTTATAGTGAGAGAGACAAAGGATTTTAAAAGTATAGCAACAATAAAAATATTATACAATGCTTTGGTTAGGAGTCAATTAGAGACGAGTGCTATAATCTGGAACCCCCATGAGATTAAATACAGCCTCATGGTGGAGAAGATGCAAAACAAGTTTACTCGGTACCTGTACCTAAAACAATATGGAGTGTACCCGTATTACCCACTCATGTATCCTTCTCTGTTTGTTATTGGCATGGTGGGATACTATAAGCTGGAGGTCAGGCGAGAGGTTGCACTCGCAAAGTACGTGTTTGAGGTTTTCCGGGGTAAGCAGAACAATCCATCCATACTGGCTTCGTTGAGGTTGCTCGTCCCAAATACAAAGCTAAGGCTGAGCCCGATATGATATATATGATATGCTCCTGTGGCTAGAGCTATTAAAATAATTAACAGAGTTGGACAAAAGGTTGATATTTTCTGTTGCTCATTGGCGGAGTTCATAAAGGTAACGACTGATGTTGTTAGTTGTACATATGTAGTTAATGGATAAGTACATAGTTGTTATAAGTTTTTATATTAAGTTTTTATTTAAGTTTTTTTTTATTAATACTAATTATAAGTTTTTACATTAAGTGACAACATTATCGCATTGGGTGTAACCTGTTAGGATGTGTTGAATTAAATAAAAAAAAAAAAAAAAAAACTTTAATTAAATTGACATTTCGCACTCTTTTTTAATCACTTGATATAAACCCCTAAAATTTTTTCATACAAAAGTAGTCTCTAAACATCGGAAATAAAGTCTATAATGGAGTCACCGGTGACCTTTTGGGTTGATCGCCATTTTTAGTTGCTTAAAAAAATTCAGATAATTCTTGAAATGTACAAGACAGAGTAAGTTATTGTTTTACGCTAATTCAAAACTATAGGAGAAACATAATGGTTTACTTTATAGCCAGTAGTGTATAGTACAAGAGATGACGACCAAAACCATGTCTCATAGCAATACGGCAAAAACCCTATAAAATCATTAGATTGTATGATTCTGAACCCTACTGGGTGTGTAGTAACGGTCGAAAGTGTAGCAACTGCGTGGGAGGCCATTTCTGCTGTGTCAAAGGTATCGGAGTATCGAAAAGTTGTCTGATAGAGAAGGTGCTACACTTATTTTGTCTGATATACATTTTTTTGCACATGTGGACAACTTATTTTATCATGTCCAACAATTTTCAGACATATTGCAATGATACCGATCGGTAAAATTTGTTAACATTTTCAAAACGGTCTCAATATTTAATGCGTTCACATTTCCGTCTGAAAATTGTTTTGTTCGCATCAAATAACCAAAATTTACTAATAAAAAAGACGTACGATTTTCAGACGTATTGCTACGAGACATTTTTTTTGTCTGGTGTTTTTGTGGTCAGATCAAACGCTACGCGGAAAATGTCTGATATTGGTATTTTCGAGTTCAGGATAATCGTATCTATCGATTTGATTTTCGGCGGTTTTGGCCGTATTGCTATGAGACAAAAATTTTGGTCGTCATCTCTCTAACTAGTAGTGGGTACTCCTTATCGGTATCCACTGGCGTTACGTTAATATCATATATAAGGTTAAAAAATGTGATAAAAACAAGGAGAAATTTTGCGTTTGTAATCTTTGTATTGTGAATATTGTGTGTTTGTTGATTGTGTTATAGTAGTAGGTAGGTCAGTTATCATTTGATAAACTGTTAGTGTTAATACGTAGGTTCAGAAATATCAATTCCTTCCAATAGAGATGATGATAGGGTATGAAAGTTAAAAACGTAATTAGTCCGTCAGTTGTAATGAAACAATATAAGACACGTATTTTTTTTATTTTTTGTATTTAAAAACAATACTTAGATGAAATGGATTAAAAATTTAAGGGTGGGACCTAGCTACGTAATTTTTGAGTATAAGACAACGTACACAAAAGTGACATCACGCGATATTTCAAATCAATTTATCGTCAAAAGTATTTATTTCCGTAAGAAAATTAAAAATACGTGGCTGATGTTTTTATTTCATCTACCAGAAGGACATTAAAATTGAAATAAGTCATCTACCCTATTATGGATACTGTGATAAAAGTCAAAGTCAGTTATTTCAATTAGACCAGAAAGATACTTTTGAACGTCAACAAAGAATTAAAAGTTTTTTTTTATAAATTTATTTAGGGGAATATTACAAAGGAGTGGCCTTAAATCTAAACTCGCCAAACTTTAACGTTTGATGCCGAAGCGAAGTGAAGCCTCTATTTGATCATTCCAAGCTTTAATATTTATAATTATTAATTATTATAATTAGCTTTAACAATTATAATTAGCTTAAATATTTATATCTAACGGTTCTTAATAATCATTATTAAATGGGGGAACAAAGGATTCAGTAACTAAATAATGACTTTATTCTGTGCAGGCACGCGAATTCCAACAACTTTCGCAGGGTGGTTCTCGAACGTCTAACGCGTCGACATCGTCCAACGGTGAGGTGACTGGCCAACTTGTAGAAGTTGGCGGCGGTGAAGTACGCATCGGAAGGATCACTTTCAATACTGATCAGGTGCTCGGAAAAGGATGCGAAGGCACTTTTGTTTATAGGTAAGTCATATACTTTGGTACAATGGTATTTTCTTTGGGAAGTTTTGAGAAGAAGGCTTGAGTATTAATCGCTACGCTTTACAAACCGCGTTTATAAAGCGACTACAAAAATCATAGTGGATTATAAAAATCTCCGTCTAACCCACTGATTTTTAATATGGTTGCGTAGAGTTCAGTTCTTTGTTTATCCAAATGTCGCAGTATCACTTGTTCATGGCTCAATAGTTACAAGTACTTTAATCTACGTAGAAACATACCTATTACTCAGCAAAATAACTATCGTGAGATATGTCTCATTAAATTAACTAAAAATCGCGGCTGTAGGCTCTATCAGTAGGATGCACGACATCGCCGCGACCGCGCACACTGCTCATGAGTAAGAGCCACTTTGTGGTTCGAAACTAGTAGAGCTTTTCTTAGTCTATTTACGTGAGTACCCCGCAATTTTAAAATAACTACGAACTTTGTTTTTAAACGCCTCTTTTGTGATTTATTTTACAGAGGAACATTTGACAAGCGTGCAGTAGCAGTGAAGCGTTTATTGCCGGAATGCTTTACGTTTGCTGACCGCGAGGTGGCGCTGCTACGAGAATCAGATGCCCATGCGCATGTCGTACGTTACTACTGCACTGAAAGGGATAAACAATTCCGGTACGTATTTTGTTAGAAGTAAGGTTGATAATTGCGTGAAGTTAATTAAATATTTATTAAAGAGTATCTAATATCCATTTGTGTACTTAAGACATGATTGATTAGTGTCTATAAGTAATTGCCTATTATATTTATTACTCATTGTGTATAACTGAGATTGTTGTATACCTTGTGGAACTATAAAATAAAATATTGAATAGTATGGTATATTGCTGTGTGTTTTTAGGCTGTCCATTCAGCCAGGTAAATAGTATACATATAAAACATAACATCACGCCTTTTATCCCCGAAGGGGTAGGCAGAGGTGCACATTATGCCACTATACAATGTAACACCCACTTTTCACTATTTATGTTATGAGTCCCATGTGATAGGGGGTGAGCCTATTGCCATATACCGGGCACAATTCCAGACTCCGAGCTACTACTGAGAATTTTTAAAAAACCCAGTAATACTTTGCCCGACCCGGGAATCGAACCCGAGACCCCTTGCCCGGCAGTCGCACTTGCGACCACTCGGCCAACGAGGCAGAGTAGTATACATATATAAATTTATGTGGGAGTGGAGTAAGCTGGTCTTAAACCACGAGTCTTTTTAGTTCGATACGGGGTTTGCTATAATATTATCAGGGTTTTCAAATCTTGTTTGGCAGCTTATTACAATAATATCAGTTTCCTTCTATCGATGCCATCATCTATTCAAATGTGTAATAAAAATTAAAAAAAAGTAATATTAATAAAAATGCTATCTTAGGGCATCAAAAAAAATTTCCTTATCGCTAACGTGAGGTAGGGTGCCCAAAAGACTGGCAGCATTGCCACGTTGAATGGCAATATTTTAAATATTTTAGTTTTTAGTTAGTTATATTTTAAGTTGTATATATTTATTTATTCAATTAAGTTAAATACAATAGTTATATATTTAAAAAAACCAATATGTAATATCAATCTTCTATTTCCAGGTACATAGCACTAGAACTGTGTTCAGCTACACTACAGGACTATGTGGAGAAGAAACTAAACTTCGAATGCACTATCGATGCAGTGGAAGTGCTGAGACAAGCAACCTTAGGACTATCACATCTACATTCTATGGATATTGGTAAGCTGAGTTTTGTCTCTGGGTTTTTATTTTATTTTAAAAACTATATTACAAGATTTATGGAATAACTGTTACTATGGAACTAATGTTGGAAATACTCGGAGGCTATTTAATTAGAAAAATATATCCATCTACAAATATTTTGATAGAGGTGGCGTGATACTTAGGTTAGGTACAATTTAAAATGTATACCATTTCAGTATTCGGGCATAACTATGTCAGAGCTTAATAATAATAGCTGTCTAATAAATGTCAAAATTTTTTTCGCTCTCTATGTAGTCTCATAATCTCTATTGGTATGAATAAAAGTTATTTGTTTTTATAATAACTATCGTGAGACATACTAACTTAACCTTTAACTACTGACGTGGGTGTCTCATAGACGGCGTGTTCACGAATATAAGAATTTTCCAAAAAAACGTCCAAATAATTGTATTGTAGCTAAGATTTTAACATAAATTTTTTTAAGTTATGCGAAATATTTATATTTTAAGTTTATAGAATTTGAATCAGAAACCGCTGATTTCATCCGAGAACGTTGTATTTTTTGCACTTCCTTAATAGAATTATATTGGACCGATCAGAATACAAGTAAATATTGTGCAAATCAGTAAATACAAGTAATCAATTTCGATTATTTATTAAGGTGTTTGACATACGTCACGTCACCGTTTATGGTATGAGTAAACCACGTCAGTATTTGAAGGTTAACAAAAATCGCGGGTTACACACGTGACCCTCTGTGGTTCGAAACTAGTAGAGCTTTTCTCAGTATATTCACGTGAGTAACCCGCGATTTTTAGTTAAAAGTTATTTGTAATTGTAATCCAATTAAATCTGTATATTTTAACGGCATCAAGAATTTTCTTCCAATTTTATTGACAATCTCTTTATCCCAGTCCACAGAGATATAAAGCCGCACAACGTCCTCCTATCAATGCCGACGGGTAGCGGCGAGGTGAGGGCCATGATCTCAGACTTCGGCCTGTCTAAGAAACTCAACCTAGGACGAATGAGCTTCTCCAGGAGATCGGGAATTACAGGAACTGATGGCTGGATCGCACCTGAAATGATTAATGGAGAGAGAACGGTATGTGTAAAGAAATAGGGTAACTACCCTATTTCTAGCCAGCAAGTAGACAGATAATAAAAATTAAAAATCAATGTAGTTAGATAATACAAAATATTATACACGTATTTTTTATTTTCTTATATAAAGTAACAATACTTAGATCAAATGTAGTTAAGTTTAGGAATGGGACGTCGTTACGTCACAACGTGCTACAAAATATAGCACGCTGTGACGTCACGATATTTCAAACAGTAATTAAGAATCTACGAAAGTATATAAGAAAGAATAAGTGACAATGTTTTAAATTAATCTACCAGACATACATTAAAATAAAATTCAGGAAACTATCCTGTTGTGATAAAAAGTTCATTTTAAAAGTTGTTGTGACAATAAATCATTAAAATTTTTCTTATGAGTTACTATGTTGTCAAATGGAAAATAACGGTTTACTCACGTAAATATACTAAGGAAAGCTAGGTATAGTAGTTCCGAGTCACATTCGTCATCACATTGTTACAAAAGAAATGATGGCTAATTCTATCTTCCTTTGTTACAGACAACATCAGTGGACATATTCTCATTAGGCTGCGTGTTCTACTACGTGCTGTCGAAGGGCCAGCATCCGTTCGGAGATATGCTCCGGAGACAGGCCAACATACTCACTGGAGATTACAGCCTGGACCAACTTGAGTAAGTCTTAGGGTTCATACGCACTATGCGGGTAGCCGCATTGTGGCTAGCCATCCGGCTGACCGCAGGATGCGGTTGCGAATGCGGGCAGCCGGATCGCGGGCATCCGCAATCACAACCGCATCGTGCGGTTGAAGAACCGTTGCGATTTGCGGTCATGTCGATCCATTTCAAAGATGGACGTGGAAGAAGTTTCAGCTATTTACTACATTTACACACGTTACATAAAGAAGAAAAAACAAAGATTAAACAAAGTACTGGGTGCATTCTTATTTGCAAACACGAGATGAGAGCAAGCACCGAATTCCATTTTACCAGACGTACCACGTTCACAAACGCAATGGCGGGCAGCCGCAGACTGAACCGCACAGTGCGTATAGCACCGTCCGGTTGGCCGTCACTCGGGCCGCAGCCCTCCTAGCGACCGAAGCGGTCTGCGGGTAGCCCCATCGCAGTGCGTATAGAAATGAATATTACGTACATATTATTGTGCTTGCGATCAAGCGGACGGCTAGCTGCAATGCGGCTACCCGCATAGTGCGTATAAACCCTTATTGTCACAAATGACTACATAGTATAAAACATAGTCGCTATCCGCCGTCTGTATGTCCCTATGTTTGCTTAGATCTTTAAAACTACGCAACGGAATTTGATGCGGTTTTTTTAATAGATGGAGTGATTTTTAAGAAAGGTTTATATGTTTAACACATGTATATTGCACCCGTGCGAAGCCGGGGCTGGTCGCTAGTTAATAAATTTGTGTTTGCTGAAAGGGGTGGCTATTGTTTGTTTGCTACAAATACAAAATTGACATTTTTTTTTAAACTTTGATATACCTCATATGTCTCTTTGAATGTAATCCATGTACTTACATCTTTAGACCTTCCCCCAAGGAGGTTTGTCATAATCTCCATGGTTTGAGACAGATTTGAGAAAACTGTATACTAATTCAGGTTTATCAGGTCGTGCTAAAGACCGCTCTGTGTTAAATATTCGTAGTCGGTTCTTGATGATACTTTGGGGAAGTGGGAGTGGAGACAAAATGTATTACAGTCAAAACCGTTTATAATGATATCGAAGGAACCGATTAATTATGATCGTTATAACCGATCGTCGCTATAATCAATATCTTTATGCTTTATAAGACAATGGACCGTACCTCAAAATTTCGGTCGTTGTATCCGATTCGTCGTTATAAACGATGTCGTTGTAAGCGGTTTTGACTGTATATATATTCTCTATCATTGGTATAGTATTTATTTGCGAAAAGTAAAAACAAATATCGTTCAACTTAAAATGTGCATCTACTTCAGAGATAATAAATAAATAAATTATTTGTCCACAGAAAAGTGTTGCCCGAAGAAGAGGTCCTAGTAACTAAGATATTGATCCGCGCAATGATCTCAGCTCGTCCCGGCTCCCGTCCCCCCTGTGAGACTGTGCTCAAGTACCCCATGTTCTGGGGAAAACAGAGCATACTGAACTTCTTGCAGGTAAACTTAATATTTATTTATAAGTCTATTTGTTATTTTTCTCCAATACATTTTCGACTTTAATGCAAAAGCAATAAGGTTGAAAATATTAAGCTTAAATGTGGGCACAAGTTTCTCGGACTGGATTCCCGGGCTTGTCAAAATATTATTGCAGTTTTCTGGCTGTCTGTCCGGAACTGTGACACGTGTATGCCATTAGCTCACTCACCGTTGCTAATCAACATTGGATTTAAGAAAATACTGAATTAGATTTTTATCAATTTTATAACCTTTCGATTACGTTAAAAGAAACCTAGTAATCTACGTTGAAATCCTTTCAATTAACGATTTTTTAATGGCGTAAGCCGGTAAACGAGCAGACGGCTCACCTGATGGTAAGCGATCGGCATCGCCCATGGACACCTGGAACACCAGAGGCATTACAAGTGCGTTACCGGCCTTTTGGGGAATTAGGAGTTTGAGTATCGTTGGGGATTCAGGAATTGGGGAGATTGGGGAAGGGGAGGTTAATTGGGCCTCCGGTAATCTCACTCACACGACGAAACACAACGCAAGCGTTGCTTCACGTCAGTTTTCTGTGAGGCCGTGGTATCACTCCGGTCGAGCCGGCCCATTCGTGCCGAAGCATGGCTCTCCCACACTTATCTATAAAATTCACTTAAAATACTCAAGCTAGGTTTATTTTAAATAATTTTAAACGTTACATAATCGATATAAATATATTCTAGAACCCGTATTTGATAACGCCTGACTCATCCTCCCGCTTTATAGATAAGGAGTTACTGCTTAAACAAAGTCTGGTACATATGTACTAGACGTTGTTTGCCAGACATATTTAGTTAGTGTCTAATCTTGACTACAATGTAATATTTGTATTTAGGTAACATAATATAACAGTAGACTGCTAACTGTTACAAGCAAGTGTTTGAGGGGAAAAATCATCACATTTCAAGTGTGGGAGAGCCATGCTTCGGAGTGATACCACGGACCCACAGAACACCGACGTCAAATAACGCTTGCGTTGTGTTTCGTCGTGTGAGTGAGGTTACCGGAGGGCCAATTACCCCGACCCTCACCGAAAACCCCTTGTCCGGCAGTCGTTCTTGCGACCAATCGGCTAACGAGGCAGTTTAATACAAATATGCCTTCTTATATTTAGACTTAAGTAGGCAATTGAAATACTGATATTCTATACAAGTATATTAAGATGCATCTAAACTAATATCATAGTATGCATTAAGATCTCGAGATAATTAAATCCTTATGAATCAGAGTATGTTTTAAAAGTATGTCGGTACATGTACTTCATGCTGCTCGTAGAGGGCATTAACCTGTCTTATCGGCATTTTATAATTGGCATAACATTGTAACCGCCGCTCAATTTCACACATTATTATATTTTTAATTGATTTCGTTTCGTTTCGTTACGAATGTGATTGCCATGGAATATCTAGTAGTGTATTGTCGTGAAACACCAAGCGGTCATCGGTCATCGCTCTCCACTTACTCCATTATAGACCTTATTTCCGATGTTTAGAGACTACTTTTATATGAACCAATGTTGTGTATTTTTCGTAATCGGGGTTTAAGGAGTTTCAACACTTATTTTATATTACGCTACTTTTCTACGCTATTATCATCATTACCACAGCATGGCATCGAGTTAAGGACGTCATCAGTTCAGTAAAAAAATATCTTGTCTATTACGTACTGGCTAATGTAGTAATATAACCAATCTGAGAATAGAAATTCTTATTATGTTTTCGGCTTACTCACGTAATAATTTGGCGACAGTCGCAGCGTCGCGGGTCGCGAAATGCTGCTCATGAATATGAGCCTCTAGCATGGCTTGAAACTAGTCGAGTTCCTCGTCAAATTATTACGCGAGTAAGTCGAAAACATAATAATTTATTTAGTATGTATCACGAAAGTTAAATACAAATATAGATATTCTTCTTCGCTCGACCTCAGAATCTCTTTTATCAGCAGACATTGACAAAATGTTTTGGGTTATCACTAATGTTATAAATTTAATGTGAAAGTTTCTTTATTTGGATGTTTGTCCGTCAACCACGCGGAAACTACTGAACGGATTTGATGAAATTTGGTATAATGCCGGGGTATGGGTTGACTTAGGATACATTATCCATCTGTATACATTATCCATCCGGTTCCAGTAAACCAACCAATCAGAGCGCCTAACGCGCTCGATACTATTACGTTACGATTGCGATAGTTATTCGTGGTTGGTACTCTGAATACATCATCCATCTATATACATACATACATTATCCATCTGTTTTTATCCATATTAAATGCTCCCATGCGATAAAACAAGTATACGTGGATATAAGCTAGTATCAAATATTCGAAAGTACGCAGACTTACAATTGCAAGAAAAATAACTTCAATCATCAGGAAAACATGCCGAAGTCATTTAATAATTACATTTATATTTCTTCGTACAGGATGTAAGTGACCAAGTGGAGAGTGGTGACAGTGGTTCGGAAGCTGCGTTGGAGCGCGGCGCCAGGCGCGTGGTGCGCGGGGACTGGCGCGCGCGCGTCTGTGTCGCCGTGGCCAGCGACCTCCGCGCGCGCAGGACTTACCGCGGGGACCGGGCCGCGCATCTACTGAGGGCTATACGGAATAAGGTAATTATGGATATATTGCTATTGGTAGATGTTGTATGTTTTTTTTTTGTATATTTTTAATAGCATTTTCTATAAGAGTGATGTTTAAATGGCTGGCTAAATGATAAGTTTACAATTTCTTTTGGTTGCTAACGTAGTGCAAGTAAAACAAGGAAGTTCTGATTTATTAGATCAGCGTGTTATTGTAACAGTTGTAGCTAATTAATAAGCAAAGATTTCTACGTACTCAAACCACTTATTTAGTAACCATTATCTTAGTTTATCTCTTGTGTTGTGTTCCGATTATTTCAACATTTTATTTTTCTAACAGAAACACCACTACAGAGAATTAGAAACAGAAGTACGAGAAAGTCTAGGCAAGTTGCCTGATGGCTTCGTAACGTACTGGTTAAGGAGGTTCCCGCTCCTACTACCTCACGTCTGGCTACAAATGCAACCATACAGACACGAGGACATTTTACAAGGGTACTACCCTCACAGTTTCACCTTCAACAGGGATGACGTCACAGAATTAGACGAAGAAGGAGAAATAGAGGAAGAAATACCAGTCGACATGTGTGATCCGGTCAAAAACGGACTTTTTGTTAAGAGTAGAGTGTACTATGACGAGAACCAAGGTGTAGAGTATAGGTACAAGAAGGAAGGTTCGCCAAGGAAGCGCAATGATTGGAGGAGCGACGCCCAAGAACGGGCGAGGCAAGATGACGTCAGACTTCGGGACAGGCACCATTATAAGAAAAAAGAAAAGAAAAGGGACGAGATGCCAGTTTGGACGCTGCCCCAGCAATGAGGTAATAGTTTTAGCGAAAGAGGTTTACTTGACCAGAAGTCACAGGGAGTAGTTTTGGTAGATAGTTTTTGTAATTGAGGCTCATGTACTGTAGTTAGAAAGGGTCGATGTACGGTTTATCGTAGAATTGTAACCAGGCTCCCATTACATACGACTCATAATTAATGAGAATTGGAGTTACCCCTTTGGGTAGTAAATAAATGTTATATTTTTGTGATGTATGATATCGTAGACGTTATACATATTACACAGGTCATGTCATGTCATCACGTGACAAAAATCTGCTAATTGCAGAAGATAAATGAATTTATACTACGTATAGCAACTCCCTGCAGTGGAAACGCTGAAGTATTAATTAAAATAATGTTTATTATTATTATTATTGACTATTTATAGACGACCTATTGTTATCTGCACAGAACATATAAAGGAGGATAGAACGGCCTTGTGGGCGGTACACGCGTGCCGCGGTTATGAGCAAATACTCCAAATCTACCAAAATGTCAAAAACCGGCCATCAAACGCAATGTTGTTGTGACAGCGTACGAAACTCCGCAAATAATATTAAATTATGCCGTCTTGGACTATAGTAATGTGTCGGAAAAGAAGACAGGTGTGCAATGTAGCACGAGAAGGGATTTCTTTCCACCAGTGACTCCAAAAACATTAATATACTTGTGATATTTGTAATTATAACATTAATATTATGATGTTTCTAGACAAAAACGACATTATCGCAAGCAGTATACATTGCTTGCAATAGATACGTACCGTTTTGCACTACATAAACGATCGCGCAATGTATTACGTTCACAACGAGAGTCCCGACTATCAAATCAAAACGTCATTTCCTCGAATCGATATAGAGAAGTGTCAATTTGTAAACAATGTCGATAATTACTATGATACAAAGGATTATTATCAAATTATACACATTATAACTAAAATAATTTTATTTATTACGACTAATTATGAAATAGGTTTTAAGTGAGGCATTTTATTCGTATTTCAGTTTTATATAATTTTTTATGTATTCGTTATGTTTTGTTCAGTAAGTAGACTGATTTTATGATTTAGGAAATTTTGTTTTACATTTCTACCTTGATATCATCTAAGGGACATCTAAATCATTTTTCGTAAGATGGATACTCTTTCATACATGCTTAGGCCCAAATTGTAAATAGTTGAAACTATGAGAAATTCTTAAAAGCCAGCCGAAATTTTAGTCAATAATTTAAAATAGTTGTTGAGGTTTTCTATTCGAGAACAAAGCTATGACAACAAATAAGATGACATTATATCCTGGGAGCGATTGTATTGTACCTTTTTTAAGAATAGCTATGTACACTTGATGACTTTTCTAGTTTTCAGAGCTTTTAGAGCTGACTTAATTTACGTGAGCTAAATATTGTGTTGGCCTGGAGGTTGCGGCGCTGTTTCATACAACTTATACGTACTTTCTAAGTTAATTTGCACACCACTCACATTCAGTAAAGGAAATTATGTAACCGAAACTATATAATAATTCCTATTTATATTAACTATTAAAGAAATACGAACGACGATTATCGGTTGTCATCATACGAATGTCATGATGATATCTAACAGAGACAATAACAGAGTTTTGAGCACAGATTAGATATATCATGATATGGTTACGTTATGATAATTCTCAATATTTCATTATTTTATGATTTTTCATTCCTTAGGGAGAAATTACGCTATTTTTTATATATTTTGAATTAAGTAAAAATCTATTATTTTTGACCCCATGACTTCCCAGACTCCTTTTATTTTTATAAAACTTACAGTTGAAAACAAAACAAAATCGAAATAATACCTTTTCGGGTTTTTATACTTTTTTGATTACTACCAATCAACAATTTACTTATAATTATATTCCATGTCAAATTATTTTAATGTTAATAATGTAATTGATTTTAAAAATCAGTTATGTATTTTTCTATGTATAGTTATTTACATTAACGTAAATACATGTGCACAATATGCCTTATACAAATCCGCATAGTCCGCAATACATGTAAATTAAGAAGCTAGATGCCATTAATTTTATCGATATCAATAATCGACCTTTCGCTCCCCCTACCATATATGAGTTTTTTACGCCTGTATTAGTGTATGTCAAACGAAGTGATTGCGTCAGTGTGACGACCAATAACAAATCTTTTAACCTAGTGCGTGTTGTTTATTTGTGTGCATTTTCCGCGTAGGTATTGGTCTATTGCTTGTAGTAAAGTTAAAGAGTGGGGGACAAACGGCGACGCGTGTTCTAATACAAATCAGGAACTATTTCCTTTCTAGCCTTCTTTATATGTTCTGTGGTTATCTGTAAATTATTTAAAGAAGATTAAATCTTGATCTTGTCGATTCTAGATAAAATGTTGTTTTTCTGGTCAAGTTACAGTGATTAGTGTGTAATTTTTATGCACAAAATTTTGAGGATTTTGTGACGAGATTTTTTTAAATTTATTTAAATGAATTTATTGATATATTTAAATTTAAATTGAATAATATATAACATTGCTAGTTTAAGTTATAGGATGTAGATTTATAGTAAGAGATCTCTAATCATTTAGTTAGTTATAGGTTTTAGTAAATACTAAAATACATAATTGAGATTTAGAGGATTCCTTTATACAAGTGTCGATAAAGATAGACTACAGGGAAGATGACCGAATATAAAAAAACTATTTTGTTTATCTCTTACACCCGGAATACTGAAACGCTACTCAAAATTAAGTCCAGACTTAGGTATAGTTCTGTCACTATAAATTCTATGTGATATGAGAGGGATGGCACGATATTCAATTACAAATTAAAATTGAGTATCCTTTCAATATTCAGGCGTTAGAATGTTAAAAACATTTCACACTATTTTTTTAACAGATTCACAGTGAATTAGCATATAGAAGTGACGTCATCCGACATTTAAATTCAGTGGATGGTCGTGACTTTTCGATATGTGCACCTGTGCCTCAGCTTTTCGGGGATAACAAACGTGTTACTTATGTAGAAAAAAAATATAAAAATTTTCTGCCATCGAGTATATACTTAAGTCCATATGGACTTAATAAAACATATATACGGTCGAATTGAGAACCTCCTCCTTTTTTGAAGTCGGTTAAAAACGAATCTTCCTTATTTTACAAAGGCCATAAATATAGAAATTATCTATCTTAGCAACACTTACAGTAAAGGAATTTGGGACCAAAAGAGGAGAAACGAAAACAAAAAATCTTCACAATGCATTTGAATGTTGTTTTGTATATTTGTGAAGGTAACTCTTGTTTGTTTCTTGTAGATAAGAAGGTCGAAAAATAAGATATAGCTTTTCAAATGTTTTAAAATTAATTTATAATTAAGAACATAATTCTTTGACCAAACTGTGTTGAGAAAATAAAAGCCGAAATGAAGTTATGCTTGCCTGATAGAATGTTCAGAGGCCTTAGTACGAGTTTGTTTTACGTTTAAGTAATCGTAACGAGTACGCGTTCGGCGCTCTGATTGGTTGGTTCATTGGCGCCGGCCAATCAGAGTGTCGAACGCGTACTTGTTTCGAATACTTTAAACTTAAATGAAACTCGTAGTAAGGCCTCAGTTTCTTAGGAGAATGTGTGTCCGTTTTAATTTTTTTAAATAATGTGTTTGGTTTTTTTGTTTTGTTCGTATTTTAAATAAGAATACTTTTTAACTCACGCAACGAAAGCTCTTGTAAGGATATGTTTTTGTTTCGGCTTTCGTTAGCCATACTAAATTAATTATTATGTTTTTGGCTTACTTACCTAACTGTTTGAGTAGCAGCATGACAGTCGCCGCGTCGTGTGTCGCGAAATTCTACTCATGAACAGTGGCCTAACTATACCATTCGGGGCCCGTTGCAAATTTATCGGATGGGCCCCCGTACCCAATAAAACAGAGAAGTTCAAATGAAATCCTCTAAACGGGGCCTCTTCTATCTGGAGGGCCGTGGAATTTTGCCAACTTGCCACCCTATAGTTTTGCCACTGCTCATGAACATGAGTCTATAATGGCTTGAGACTTGTTCCTCTTCAAACGTGCATAAGCCGAAAACAATTATTTTCACAAAATTCATTGATGCCCCTGCTCTTGTAATACTTTTAATATGGCTTCCTCGATAATGACCCAATTTGATCCAGTAATTCCCGAGATTAGCGCATTCAAACAAAATTAAAATAAATAATATAATTTAGGATTTAGAAGCCAAAGGGGCCTGTGCGTCCTGTGGTAGTGTGAATGGAAAATACTATAGTACCTACCACATATTATTAGACGTCGGAAATATAAATGACGTCACTAGTTTAATCTGTGTTATCGGCAGCATTAGCTGTCCTGGGGGCCTACTCTTGAATACAATTCCGATCGATCTACATTGGTATTGTGAAATTTCGTACTCTTGAGTTGCAGCACTAGCGCCCATTGCATTTGTATTGCGTGGATATTTAATGAACTAAATGGTATTGTGTTTGGCTATAAATTCCGTATTCTAAATGCTACTTTGACAGCTACGATAAGGTATAAGATAGTTTTGACATTGGATAATTATTGAGATTTTATTGGATTGAAATTGCTTTTACAGTGAGATTGGTTTCAAGAGTAAGCACCCTTTTGACGTTGTCATCTGTCGAATGTGACAGATTAGTGAAGTTTCCCGCACAAATAGTTGTAACGTCCATTCGGGTTGGAAGTTTGAACGAGCGTTACAATGTTTCTTATAAGAATCTGTTTTAAAAAAAATGTTTCCAGTATTTAAGTAAATTTACTTAAAAATATATTCCTTTATAAACCCGTAAGGCAGCTTTCGGTAGTGACGACCCCACATTATTTAAATTTTTTTAAGGTACCTATAGATAATTCTTTGATTATATTGATCTAGACTGTCAGTTCACGAAAAGCGTCACAAAAATTTGACTGCCTCGTTGGCCGAGTGGTCGCCAGTGCGACGGCAGTTGCACTCGCGACCACTCGGCTCGTGGTAAGGGGTCTCGGGTTCGATTCCCGGGTCGGGCAAACTATTACTGGAATTTAAAAATAATCTCAGTAGTAGCACGGAGTGTGGAATTGTGCCCGGTATGTGCCAATAGGCTTACATGCGACTCATGACATAAATAGTGAAAAGTGGGTGTTATATTGTACAGTGGCATAATGTGCACCTCTGCCTACCTCGTTGGAGATAAAAGGCTTGATGTTATGTTATGTTATAATTATATGATAGTTCTCAGTATATATATATATATACATATATAATGAAAAAAAGGCCTAATTAACAAGTTGTTCACTACCGTGACTACCATACATGTAGGTACGGTATATAATTTAATTGTAAATATTAAATAATATATAGGAGTAACATTAGTTATTATTATTTATTATTATAATAAATGACATAGTATAGATGTATAATAGTTTAGTTTGTACATTATTGAATAGTTGAGAGGCAGGATTTAGAGATGCAAGCCCATATGGATCACCAACGTATGGATTCGAAATGGATGCTTTTTCATTAAAAAACATTGTATTTCCTACTCTTTTTGTTTTTTGTTTTTCAGTTTGTAAGGTTAAAATAGATGATTGGTCTGCTGTCAGAGAGGGAATTCGAGACACAAACGGACGGAACAGACGCCGAGTAGCGCAGTAGGTAGGGTAGCTCGCCTACCGACCAGAACCATACCTGATCGTGCGGCGCGCGCGGTTCCATTTGCCATCAGATGATCAGACTACCACGAATAGGGCCCAATAGGGCTGATGACGATACGGAGCCACTGAGAACTTAATTAAAAGGTTACCAGGGCTCCGGCCGCTCACCCTCTCGCCTCAACCAGGCGGGAGAAGTCATTCGATGATTTACCTCCCTTAAAAAATCGATTTTTAATATGTTCGCCTACCATATTCATGACTGTTTGCATTGGTATAGGTAGTTGTAGCCTTAAAAATATATCTTTAGTAACACTACTTTTGGTTATCCTCTTTACACATAAAAATAATAAAAAAATATCATTTAATTATACCTTTTTAATACTCTCTCTACTAACTAAATAAAACTACTGCAGTTTTATTTAGTTAATTTTTTTAGATCTATCGCCATTCCAATAGCTTAGGTAAAGCGATATGCGAGCGGTAAGCGATAATCAAATTATACTGGCGACCTACCTATTAAACCGTCTAACATGTAACTAGTTTTATAAAAATCTAAGTAAATTGTTTTTATAATGTAATTTTAATATCTGTCTTACGCTATATAGATAGTGTACGTTCAATGTCGCATAACTGCATTCCTTATTTACTCACTAGCTAGCTAGATAAACTAAGTATATAACACATTATGTATATATTATTATTTTTATGACGTTCGCGCGGACATTTTAATGATTAGTGTCATGGATTTTATTTTAATTTATTTACACGTAGCTACTTTAATTGACGTCAATAACATTGAGGTGTTTTGATCTTAGTTTTATGTATTTTAATTTTTTCTATAGATATTATCTTAACCAAGTAGATGGATCGGTCTAACAACATATTTAGCGAATTATTTATTTAACGCTGTAAAAACGATTATTTTGTTATGTATGGAGATTTCTTTCGTGAAAGCTGTAGTATGCCTAAATGTATATACGACGATTTATTTTTTGTTTGTGTGGCGACGCTCACTGAAATTTCAACGACACAATAACAAATAATGACATAAAGACCTTGACCATGACTTTCAAGAAAGGAGCGTATTCTTTTTTAAAAGGCCGGCAACGCACCTGTGGTTCCTCTGGTGTTGCAGGTGTCTATGGGCGGCGCTGATCGCTTACTATCAGGTGATCCGTCTGCTCGTTTGCCTCCTATTCCATTAAAAAAAAACAAAGTAAGTGAAGTATGCGCGCGATTAAACACAGATAAAAAATTCCAACTGTTGGGCAGTAGCCCCCTAGGCACGATCACCTCGCTTGGTCAGAGAATCGTCCTTTTCCTTTTCAAATTTGAAAGTGTTTGTCTCTGGAATTACCAGTCTGAGTTGAAAACCATTTTATAGCATTCAATAGTCCTTATTGAGGAAGTTTATTAGCCAATAAGAATGAAGCACGATGAGTGTATTATGAGCAGGTAATTCAGTTGCTATAGACCTGTTATTAAGATATGTTATGCTTACCTGGCTGAAATTTTACCAATATTAATTTAAAATCTTAGGATTTATATAGTTTTAACATGGATGCTACTGAATTTCTGTCAAAAACCTAGATATTTTAGACTAAAATCGACCATAAAACATACTGCTTCTTTTATTTTTTATGTTGCTGTAACATTATCAGTTTATTAATTGATGAGATGCTGAACAAAACATCTTTATTTTAGTCAAATTCTTGTTCATTTTTTTATCATAAAATTCATCACATATTATTTATAAGTTCTGTTTAGTTTGTATACAATTTATTTCTGGTGCTACGAATGTGGAGTGAAGATGTGAATATTATGTGCAAATATTTATAGTTAGTTGTAGAAAAACAATACTTGTATCGTGATTGGTTCATTATGCCGATGCTTTGACAAACATTACCTAGTGGCGTATTTAGTCGCGGAGAACCTATCGGGTAACCGGGGCTCCGGCTCGACGTGCAGGAGAAGCAACGGGGTGGTTTTTAGTCAGTCAGAGTCTGACACTCCCTCCCGCCTCACCCAGGCGGGAGCAGTCATTCGATGATTTTCCCCCCTTAAAAAAAAAGTGGCGTATTTAGTTATTAGTATATCCATCATATTCACTCAGTGTAATTATACCCTCTAGATTACTATACTCTTTGGCAATTATGTTTCGTCACGAATGTTCAGAATTTTAAATATGACCGCGTATCGTGTTTCATGTTCTTGTCGTAAGCACAAAGGTCATTTGTTTAAGAGTAGGTAAGTGTAGATTCGTTTGGCTTAAAATGTTTGGGTATTTTTTAAGCTAATAATCGTTCAAAATGTGTCTAAGTACTTAACCATAGCTAAAATTGTCTTAATAAACACTAGTATATGTTGCGCAATGTTATAAAATGTTCACAATGTTTATTTAAACAGGGGCACTAAACCGAACCACTAAGTGACTAATGATACATATTATAATTTGGTAGAAATGAAATAAAAACTCGACACAAAACCTGTTTAATTAAATGCCAATACCAAGGTCTTTGGATGTTACGTGAACGTTGTAAGACAGATGTAACTCATTTATAGACTAACAGTTACTAGGCTATGTTTAAAAACTAATATTTTCGTCTATTACCTATATTTAGGTATCTTCAGTGCACATGTACCGAATAGGAAGGTCAATGAACTGATGTCGACTTGTTGCCCTTGATATCGTGTTTAAGTCATGGCAATGAGGTTACACCAAGGTTGCGATGTACCTATAATTTGACATAGTTTTTTTATTCATGTTCTATAATTGTTTTTTTTGGCTTGTAGTGGCTTATTTTGTGACAACGGCTCTAAAGACAGTAAATTATTGAAGTCTTATGCATTCAGTAATGTACTTTAGAATTACCAACGGAGTTAACCAAACCCCTACGCACTGGTCTGAATTTTTCGTTGATTAGCATGAATATGTAATAAATATTCTTTGCTTGGTTCCATCTCGTTGGTTAAACCTAATTGAAAAATGTAAAGAGGAAAATTGGCCGAGGAATTACATCTATTGTGTTATTTTTATTTAGAATTTGTTTAACACCATATTTGTGTCATATTTATACAGAAATCCAAGTTTAATATTTCCATTTCTGAGGACAATATCAATTGTTATACTATAAATAAAAGATGACGCATAATCAATCATTCATGCAATGTTTACTAAACGTTCCTGTGTAATGTAAATATTATTTTAAGTACTTATAATTGATGTACTAGATAAAATCAGCGTTGATCGCGACAATTGTAAGTTATTTTATAAGAATAATAATGACCTAATTCATATAAATTGAGATTGGAATTTTATATTATTAACTATAACAAATTTTACCAAGTGATATTTTGATTCGTCTTTTCATTATATTATTCAAAATTAATCCGTATTGTATATATTATGTATGAATTGTATGATGCTCAAATTGTTCATAAATATATTTATAACAGTAATAAATGTCAAATAAAGATAAGACATACAAACATGATAACATCTTGTTTTATTTCATTATTGTTGTGGTAATGAAGAAATAAAATTAGAAAATTTCCCTATAATAAATGTTTATTGTCAGTCAAAACTTAAAAATAAAATAACAATGTTATTACGTAATTAGAAAAATAAAATACTATTGTTAATAAAATCAGTCTTAGAGGAATTCTGTTATTCTTACTGTGGGTAGGTTGAGAGAATGGCACAGATTGTTGAGACGATAGCTTATTTGTGCTAATGGCTAAAGAAGCAAAATATTAAAAAAAATAGAAGTAAAATATGGCAAGTCGTTACACGATTGTAACAGACCCTAAAGTAAAGTAGGGCGGCTTATTGGCAGTATACCCGACAACATCGTATTGGAGACTCGGTTGCCAAAGAAAAAAAAAGTATTGCTGGCAAGACCAGCTAATTACAAAAATAATTAAAAAGGAATTAAGTAGTAATTCTAATTGGTAGCCAAAAATGATTCATAAAAACAGTTTACTAATAAGTAAAACTGCATTGAAATCAAACATTAAAACAGAAATAAGAATTAGTTGATTTGACATGTGCTTTAAATAAAGAAGGAATCATTGCAATTATTTCTATAGAACAACTCATGTTCTATTCTTTACAAAATAAGAAATTAAATTAATGAACACAAACAATTGTGACATACAATATGATAACATACATAATTGGAATGTATTCAAAATGCCATTGGATAAACAAATTGGTACAAAATTAAAGCTATGAAATACATATTTCCCTACATCCACACTACACTACAAATAGGCCTATTCCAAAAATACCTCTCTTAGTATTTCTAAGTATAGTTATACCTACATTACAAACCACTTGAATACTTATCTATCAAATCAATTATTGTTAAGTGAACTTTCTCTTTAGCTAAGGTGAGTGCAGTTTTATCCGACCCATTTTGCAAGGACAAGTCGGGGTTATAACTCAGTAACATTTTAGCAGCCCCTATATTACCCATAGCACAGACATCATGCAATGGAGTATTCCCTGCTACATCAATCGCGTTTATATTCGCGCCACTATCTAATAATAAACGAATCACATATATTTTATTATTCAAAGCAGCTAAATGTAAAGGAGTTTGATACTTTTTGTTATAACAATTCACATCTGCTTTGTTATGTATCAATATCTTGCATAATTCTACTAAACCATATCTAGATGCGTAGTGCAAGGCAGTAAAACCATTTATATCAGTGAAATTAATATCAAAGTCTGATGAGTTTGTTTCATTGTTTTTCTTGCAGATTGCACACTCACATAGAGGATGGCATGGAGTAGTCTGCTCAGGAGTGTCAGGCTTATCTTTCATGTCAACATAAGCCGAGTAGTTGATGTTCATATAAAAGCAGGCGAGCTTCACATCTCCATAGGATATAGCTTTCAATATCCTATCAATTAATTTCAATTTTTCCACGGCCTTTGACACATTGTTAGTATCACTCACTTTGTTAACTACTTTTAGTTTGATAGGAGCAACGGGGTTGTCAGATTTGCAGTTCAAAGCTTTAACATCTGTACTAGTGATATGTATGTACTCGTACAAACTAGGAGTACAAGATTTTAAAACTTGCATTATCTTCAAATTGTGAGCATAGTCAAAGGCCGTTTTATTGTACTTATTCTGTAAAGATGGCTCTGCTCCATTTTCTATTAATAATCTTGCAATTCCTTCATAGCCCCACTTAGATGCCATGTGTAATGGCGTGTTCCCACTCTCATTTACGCAACTGATCCTAATTTTCCTTCTACTGTGCTCTGCGAAGTAAATAAGTGCTTTGACACAATTCAAGTGTCCATTATTGACAGCCATGTGTAATGGAGTATTTTGGTCAATATTAGCTTTATCTATGTTAGCTCCTGAGTGTAGGAGGAGCAGCAAGGCATTCTGGTGACCTCTTGATGACGCATAGTGAAGTGGAGTGCATTCATTGAGGTCAGTTGCATTAACTTCGGCACCCATTTCAATTAGAGATTCTACGACATTTGCTTTCCCATGAATGGAGGCTACATGCAATGCTGTAAGCCCATGACTGTCTCTGGAAGTCACAGTGGGGGAAGTCTTTAATAGGTTCTTAGATATTTTGCAGCAACATTTCTTGCAGTTACACAAGGGATGACAGAGTTTGTGATATATTTCCGTGTCACTGTCATCATCATCATCAGTCAGATTGTTCTCCAGAGCTATTTTGAGAACATTATTTTCATTTAGATTAATACTCTGGAGGTGCTTTTGATTTTTCTGTAGAATTGCTTTTACTTGTTCACAGTGATTTGCTTTGATAAGTTCAAAGATATATTCTAAAGTTTCTTCTTTGCCGTTGGTGTCACTTGTAGAGATAGATTCGGTTAAACTGTTCTTTCTTTGTCTGCCATTAACATTTTCTTCAGTGAGGTTGCTCTCATAGTAATAGGACTCAGGGTCTGGTGATCCAGTGAGTGCTCCAGATTGAATGTGTTCTATTACGGCTTCTAAAGTAGTGATAAGGAAGGAGCTCTCATCAGCATCGCCTTTGCCTACACTGCTGAACCGAAACTCCTTCATGTACATCAATTGACTGTACCAATTGGGAAGGCCAGACTTGATGACAAGGAACACAAACACTGGCAACAGGTCATCAGCAGTCAGTAGAACAATATTGTTGCTGTCATCCTTCTTGTGGATGGCATTTAAGGCTTGTTTCACACATAAAACTTTTTCTAGGACTGTGTTGTAAGTGTCTATCTTGGAAAGTATCTGTTTAGCTCTAGGCACTGCATGATATAGATCTTTTTTGATGTCCAGGTCCCTTAGCTGGATGTCACACATATTCCTTATTTTCTTATTAAGGTGTGAGTCTTCATAGGCACAGGAGGTGCATATAGGTTTGAATAAGGCATCAAATAGTAAGTGCTGCATATAGCACTCTACAGCTAACTTTATGTTTTCTAGCACTTGTTTACAAGACTTTGATTTGTCTCTGAGTCTTCTATTTTGTAAGGCAATTTGGAGGCATTGTGTGTATAATTCACTCACTGTGTCTCGCAATGGTGCTACTGCAACAGGTAGTGTGGGATGGCTCTTTAAAAATGTCTGTACATTGTGTTCAATTTGATCAAGAACTTGACGACCAGCAGCTTGTGTCCAGAGCAAGTCAATACAGTCATTGATGGATGTAAGATACTCTTTGGATATTGCATTATCATTGAATTTAGTAGTAGGTTCCAGAGGAGTTTCAATACACCACACTTTGTACTTGATGAAGTCCTCTGTGTAGAATGTTTCTTCAAATAAAATATGGCTTTGTAGAGGCAATCCTTTGGTCACTTCGAGTGTAATCACTTTATTGGACACAGTCACTTGTTTCTCCGTTAGCGTACTATAGTGAGTCTCCGGTAACTCGTCACTTGGCACAAGTATATGAGCACAAAAATCTTCGACGGTGAACACACGAGTCGTTAAACTTCCAATCCGAGGGACACATATTACCCAAGATTGTGTTATACAATGTTGAAACAAATTAGAGTATTCTGTCTTCAATTCAACGAAGAACGGGTTATCGGAGATGATCTCGTCGTAAGTACCATCCATTGTGGTGATAAAAATAGAATACTAGTACAAACTTCGTCTAATAACTTGAACATCAGCACTCTAGGAATTCACTAATTATGGCTTCTCTGTTCGGCCGTATCGTCGGGCCGAATTTAATTAAGTTTTAAGCACAAAAACTCGCTACTCGCGACCTTGCTTCGAATGGTACTGTGCGTTTGACATTTCAGTGACAGTTCCGTTTGTTGACATCGGTGTTGTCATTATCAGCCGTCTACTGTCAATGAATTTACCACAGATGAATTATTACACCTTTATAACTTCAATAAATTGGTGAATGAATAAAATAGTTGGTACTATTATGATATTTTAAAGGTTTCAGTTTGAGAAATCTAAGTAAAAATATAAAATCAATTACTAAACAAAAAGTCACTACTTCACTATAAAAATGTGGATAGTTTTAAATAAAAAGTCTGTCGTAAAATTAGCACGGTTTATTTTATTAAAAATCTATAAAAAGTAACAGTCCATTTAAAATAAATCTATTAACAAGTGGAAATAGTTTATCCTCGGCCTCCTCTACCCCCAAATCCACCGAATCCTCCGCGTCCTCCAAATCCGCCAAATCCTCTACCACCGAATCCTCTGCCCCCAAATCCTCTACCACCGAAGCCACGGCCTCCGAATCCACGGCCTCCAAATCCACGTCCACCAAAACCTCTACCGAAGCCTCTACCGAAGCCACCAAATCCACCACCACCGATGATTATTGGTACTGGAACTGCAACGGGAACTGCAATAGAAAAGTTTGTGGAGTGGATAAACCAAAATTTGTTGGACATTTTGAGCATGTTGACTATTGAGGCTGGAATACCTAGGTAAGTAAAAAGTAACTCGACAGTAAATTAGTGACTCATGATGCTAGTTATATTAAGATGTTAGTTATATCAGTTGGTCAATTATGTTTGATACTTGCTTAATGAATGTACGAGAAGGTATTTGTTTTGTTCATAAGTTATCGTACCGGAGGTTGAGAAATTACGTGATTAGATAACTTTATTTTTATAACATAACGGTGTTTATATATTATGCACGTAAGTAGCTACACAATGATAATATGTGGATAATATTGATAAAGCAAGAAAGTTAGGATAATACGGTTTGATCGTGTCGAGATAATGAACGAAAACAGAACTTAATTATAAGTAACAGAGTACAACATGTAATAGAGGGTGAGCCCATTGCGCTATACCAGGCACAATTCCAGACTCCGTGCTACTTTGCCCGACCCGGGAATCGAACCTCTCGGGTTGGTGTTGGGAATCTAACCCCTTGCACGGCAGTCGCTCTTGCGACCACTCGGCCAATGAGGCAGTCAAGTAAATAAATTAATCTCATGATTTATTGATCAATGGAGATATACATAGGTACTAAAAAGGATTATGCGCAGAATATTTTTAACCAAACGCATTTATATGATGACAAGCATGAAAAATTCAGAAGTACTTGAAGATCATAGTAGATGGCGTTTCATTGTCATCATAAGAACTACAAGACGTCAACTGCTGAACATAAGCCTAATGACTTCTAGATAGCGGAATATATTATGTTAGTTAATTAACTTACCTCGTCTCCTATAGTACGGATCGTAATACGGATCATAATACTGTCGCTTCACTCGTGTTACATCGTCTCTATGATCTTCTTTATGACTAGCGTCTGCAGGTTCATTTTCTTTTAAAATTAATTTTTCTAAGGGCTTTGATTTTTCTTCTAGCTGTGTTGTATTATCGTTTTTGGTTGAATTAATCTCTTCTATGCTTATTAGGAGTACGAAGCACACAGTTAATCCCAATTTCTGTAAGGAAATTTTACACGAAATGGTGATTAAATAGTAAGTATGCATACATACATGCGGTCAATTTGTAAATCAATATTTTTGCGTGTTAATAAATTTATTTTCTATTGCACAACTTATCGTAATGTACCATCACGATCAAATGTTCTGCGTAAGGATAAGGATAAATGCGTGGTTGTAATTCGTGATTAGGAACACAGGTATAGTTGTACCTACTGCCTATTTAGCAGTGCAAATTTTGCCTATAAGACCGAAATTAACACTTATAATGAAGGAATTTCAAACTGTACCTAGGTATCTACAATGTACACACGGTCACACATCAACCTATACAAAACCAGTTTATTCTGGTATCGCGACGCATCATCTTTCCGCACATTTAACGTTCAGTTTATACTGGTTATCTAAAGCTCGATGTGTAGCCCTGTGTACCAGTGTAACCTAGTACCTCAAATTTTATTGTATCCCGGAATATAAACTCATCTACAGAACAGAGTTAAGTCAAAGTCAAAATCATTTGTTTCAATTAGACCAGGAAGGTAATTTTAAACGTCAAAACAAAATATTTAAATTTAGAATGAATTGATGCACTAAAGTGACGTACCCAAGTTAACATTGGTTAAGGTCATTGACATGTTATTAGATATCTAATGTACAACATTTGATATCTAATAACTAGTACTAATAACTAGTACATAAAATCCAAAGTGACCTTACTAATTAATTTTCGACATAATAGCTACTTTAGTTAGATACTATTTCAGATCATAATATTGATGAAAACAATACTTACAGTGATCTCCATACTGTCTGTTGTGTTATTCTAAAACGACTGATCGAAATATGATGAATGCCCATATAATATACGTACCTCGAACATACATGCTAATTGAAATTCTTGACTCAAGTCGCTTCATGTAAAATCCCGTAAAAGGCACTAAATGATCTAATTTGTGGTGTATCAGTGCATAGGGAAATAGACATAAATATTAGGTAATAATTACTGATTACCGACGAGCATGCATAAAAAGACTGATGACTGCTGAGGAAGCGAAAGAGGTATGTGAGAATCGTAGCAATTGTGATGATGACAAGGTACGAAAATTTAAAATCTAATTAGTCCGTAAGTTAGGTAATGAAAAAATATTAGAAACGTATCCTATACCTTTTTATGTTGTCGTAAGTATAATAAAATAATAGGTACCTACTTAGACAAAACGAATCAAAGTTTAAGAGTGAGGGTATAAAACGTCATTTCTACGTATAAAATGTACATAGAAGTGACGTCACGCGACATTTCAAATCAATATATCGTCGAAAATATTCGTTTCTGTAAGAAATTAAAAACAGACATTAAAATAAAAATGCATCTACCCTATTGGCGTTCCTTAGTCTCTCCTATCCTCCTATCCCCATAGGAGACAGGCGTGAGGTTATGTAATAAATGACGCAACTAAAAATGATTTCGTGTACATACAACATATCTATTTTTATGCCAATTTCGTTGAGAAAGGTCTAACAGAACATGACTTCTGTGTATGAACTTTTGAGGTCATTCACATGTCTAATGTTGACTGCCAGTTTTAGTGATATTTTCGATTCGGGTTTCCCAATTGGTATCCACTACCTACTTCCCAAGCATGAGTCCATCATACAGCAGAAGACCTGAATGAGATGTTTATAATTTTGTGACCATGAATGCAAACGAAACGTATGTATAAACGTAACTTCTATTTTAGGACTTACAACAGGAATTGCTCTGTGGTTTGCTAAATCTTCCGAGGGTGCGAGTATTGGATAGAGACACATTAGGTACGTACTATTCATTATTCCTTTTCCTACGGGACTCGAGTGAACACAGTGTCTGTTACTTACTTACCTATTCGCTTTTTTTTTCATATTAATCATCGAATAATATCTATAATTTTTTTTTTTAAGTCAGATGGACATGCAGTCGATCTTAATTCTTACCTAACTGTTATGTTAACCCTGTATCTAAATGTCATGTGTTCCAATACATAATATATCTACCAATTATACTCTAATCTACTTATGATCACTTAATTAGTGGCCAATAAGTAAATAATTGGTGGAAATATGGAAGCAGCTGGCTCTACAAAGAGATTTGTCATTTTGCCCTTGATAAAGTGTCCTTTGTATGATCTCGGTTGCGGCTGACATCTCCAATTACATTTTCTCTAAGCATTAGTACCTACAATCCCTAATGGATTCGATTTTTCGTCCATCGTTTTGTTGTTTGTTTATCTATTGTGCAAACGAATTACTTGTATTTCTATCAGACAAAACACGAGAATAGTGAATTGGAAATGGTAAAAGCAAATAATAATAAAAACACGAGTGATGAGTGATAATTCCATTACCTCGGTGCGGCTATGACAATCAATTTTAATTTCATGAATTGATAGATTATTGTGTGATGTTTTATTCGCGAGATAATTTTGATTTGACAGTTAATTTGGTAATGAGAGATGAAAGCAATTATAGATCTACACAGTACACATGTAATGAAAGCAAATGTTTGACAAATTAATTTTCCGGGCTGGTCACAAGAGCCTTCTAGCTTAGCAGTCGAACTGGTGACTCTTCAGTGGACAATTTACTCCGTAGATGGTTTTACCATTATTTACTTATATGACGTGACTGCATAATATATGGAATAGTTACAATAATAATTGCTTAGTCATAGACTAGCCACAATTTCATAATATTTGTATAAACCATTGTAGTCAATAGAGCGCACTTAGGATAGGTGAGTACTTCATCGTGCTGTGCCTACCGAGATATTGGAATTAGCGTGATTGTTCTAATTTAAGATTTTATAACCAAAATATTTTTTACAATTTTCGAATTATTTTCTACATTTTCCCTGTCATTTGCATTTGCCTTCGTATACCTATAGTGATCCGAGTTAAAGAACTAGGACCTAGGACAACCTCTCATGATTAAGATCCATAGGGGACCCTATTTATCCATAGTGAGGAATGACTTGATATTTATACGTTTTCTTTGCTATACTTCTTTGGACTTTCAGCTTTTTTAAATAAGAACTTTGTATAACAGTTTCAATTTCCAAGGTAATAATAGAAGGAACGAAATGTTACGAACCTAGCATTCGTTAGCAAACGAAAACAATATCAGTGTAATTCCGTAAAAAGTTTTTTTTTTTTTTTTTCTCTTTATTTAATTAGGAACTTTTGTACATAAATACATGACAGTGACATATTAAATGTTTACCGTAAAAAGTTAGGGTTCATTGTCAGACATTGCGTTGTTATTTTAATATGGTGAGGTGATGTGTGTGCCGTGCGCCCGTATAAATATTTCATCGCGTACGGACCGGAATATGAAGTGGTTAATTTAAATTCTGGCTCGTCTGCGCTGCGGTCGAACACTCCCGGTTATGCCACTTTTTATTTTTCACTTTCCACCCTACCCCCTCCCACTTCCTTTCTGAATGCAAGTGGACCCGTGGACCGTCGCTTTATTACTGAAGTTTGGACGAAACACGAACGATTTTTTCCGAGCAATCTATTGACGCTCGTAGAATGCACCACTCCAGTACTGCCATTCGCCATCTCGGAAGTTACTTTGACGTGTATAGGAAAATTTGTGACGATTCACGTTGGAGTAGAATACAATACAATGATGTCATAATTTTTTCTGCAGTTCAACGTTGATTTGGTGTGATAACAATTTAAATTCTTAGAAAACTTTATTATAATAAAGTACTACTTATATAAAAGACACAAATAAGCAAAATAAAACGTAAAATACATCGGTATATTGCAACGGTTTTGTGGGGCTTAGATTATAAGATACTTTCCTTTATGATATAAAGAAAAAAAAAGAGCCTTATTGTACCTCCAACTAACGGCTTTTTATTATCAGTTCAACACGGGGATCAGAAACTGAACCTCGTTCATGGCTATCACGATTGGCAAGCAATGATCGCAAGCAGCATAATGGAATGTAAAAATGTAAAATACATTTTTGTTTGAAGGATCGCACTCGATCGGTGATTTCGCTGCACAGTTTTGGTGTTGCTAATTAAAACTGCACGAGCTTCTATTGTACTCTGCACACGGAAAACCGCAGTAAATTTTCATTCAATACATTTGCAGCGCCAAAATGGCGACCGACCAGTCGCTTGGAGAACTTTTTAAATTCGTGTTCGTGCTAAAGTTGGACAAAGTATAGAATCTAGATCTTCAAGTTCTATTATGGTGTCCATAGCTAGTAAGAGCAACTTCTAACCATTGGTTCTTGAATTTGATTCGCAAACTTGGCGGATATTGGTTTTTTCGATAGCGATAATCTTTGCAAATGATTCTTTCAAGAAAATTCTTAAAAGATTCTTTTGAAAAATATAAATTTGTTACGTAGACTAGATACCTACCTAATATCTAGGCGCCCACCTAATGGCCTCAAGGATGACGGCGGCACAGTGGTCACGTGCCGCCGTGCAGTGCACAGAGAGGCTGTAGGAGAGACACAGGTCTCCATAGGGAGGTGCCATAACAGGCGTTGCACTGTGGGGGCTCCGGAGTTGGTCTACTAAGAGGACCCAGTGCCTCCTTCAAGTGCGGATGATGGCCACCAGGGAGGTTTTAGTGAGGTAAAAATCCCACACTCCCAAGTCTTTTTCCTCAAAAAGCTTGGCGCCTTTGGAAGGTTTCCCCCCGCCAACAAAAAAAAAGGTAACCTAATGGATTTTTTCTAACGTACCTTAATAAAAACAGCTAAATACACTACACTAATCTGAATTAAATACACTAATCTACATGAACAAGTCAAGCAGAATTTTACACCATTACCCGTTCCTTACACTTTCATTAATCAGTATAAAATGTAAGAGCGAAACAAAGTATGAAGGTGCTCACTCAATATCAGAACAGGTAAAATAATATAGGTACTTGTGTCTTTATCTAAAAGCAGACTTGAAAATGTATAGCTATGAACTTCCAAAGGTTGCCGTGAAC